TATAGCTATCTATACTACAGAAATGTAACTTTTGGAGGAGAGAGAAGTTTAAAAACAAGCCTCTTCAGCCTCTTAGGAGCTGGGAGTGCTGCTGAGGCAGTGCACTGAGCCCTTAGGGTAAGCAGTGGAGGGGAAAGGGAGTACATTACTCAACAGTAACCCCCCTCTGGTAGATTAAGGGGCATCACTGCTGGGCTCTGAAGAGTCCTATTAATCTGGAAGATTACAGCTACAAGCCTTGAGGGCAGGGTATAGAAAAAAGGAGTTCTTCAGGGGTATGACAGGGATTCTCCCTCCCCCGCTTGTGACATGACTGGCTATTGTAGTCGTTAACAGTTCACAACCACAGATAAAATAAGAAATAAAACAGTAATAGATATGCTGATGATGGTATTATAAGGAAGAGTTAAACAAACATCTCTTCTCCCTCCAAAATAGTCATTTCTGGGGTCCGACCTTATCAATCAAATTTCACCCTGGATAGAATTGTATATAGCAGAGTAAATACTAACCAAAATGTGTCCTTTTAACCAATTGTAACTTAAACATTGAAGAATCATAACTGCATTACTCCCCCTCCAATTAGCAGCAGCTTTCTTTATGTATGCTTATGAAGCGTAAACTGTTCACTTGTCATTACAAAGACCTTCTGTAGAGGACTTAAAAAAACAGCAACAGCAATTAAGATGATGACAGCAGAGGTGGATTAGGCACATTATGTCAGAAAATACCCAGCTGTTTCCTTTTCAGCAAAGGACACACCAGGCATCTGAAATGCGGTGGCCAAATTTTGCCAGTCCACATAGCACTGGTGATTATCTTAGGTATGGTAGGGACTCCCAAGATGGGGGTATGGATAAGAGAAACTAAAAAGAATATCGTAGATTGAATGATTTTCTTTTAAAATCACCAACAATCCCTTCTGTGATACAAAACTCTTTTTTTTACCAAGAGTACAGATATTCTATTTTATAAAATGTATTCTTTGCGTGTGAAATTGACTAAAAGCAAAGTGAAACTGACTAATCTATTTTCATTGCCAAACTGACAAATCCAAAATGTACTGACAGCATAAAGAGTGAACAGTAAATCAGATAATGCAATTCGTTCACTTGGTAGTGCTGGAAGGCATTTAAAGAGTTAATTAAGACTATAGGACTCAGTACACCTAGGTTATTTCTAACAACACTAACCTCTGTTACAATCACATGTGCCTCTCTGTGCTGCTTGCTCCTGCCTGCATATCATCATGACATTAATAATCTAAGGAATAATTTGTAACACAAGTAAGGAATTTTTAATTGAATTTTTAAGCTGATATTGTCCATTTAAGAAAAAAGATATCTGAAATATAAATGCTTTAGTTTGGATGCTTTCAGCTGAATAGAAGGGACTAAGAACATCTGAAGAAATAAGATAAATTTGATTATTGGTACAGTATGAAGGACAATGGCAAACACTACAAACACGTTGAAGCAGACACTCGGGTGAAAAAACTGTCTCTCTTTACAGTCCTCCTAAAAATACATCATTGGAGGAACTGTATGACTAGATCATCAAGAAGATTTCCTTCACCTATAAGTTATTGTTTCTGATAAAAGGGCAAATGTGTCAAGTGTTATTATAGATGGGAATTGTCTATTTGCCATTTTTTGCCCATCACAATAATTCGATTATCCACGATCTCTTATGCAAACACAGGAATGCAGAAAACATGCCAGCTGTTAAATGCATTGTGTGGACACTTAACTCTGCTTTACATTTAGAAAGAGCTGCAGATGCACAAGCTCAAACATTAGATACTTACCAAATTAATTTTTATTGTTGAGCACAAAACATCTGTGGCATATAGCCCTTAGCAGTCCCATAACCATACGTTTCCTTTCATCTAAGTGTGTCTGGTTTTCAGGAGTGAAGCACATTCCTGGTGTAGCCACATACAGCTTACACAGCTATGCAAATACTCCCCTATCCCAGGGAGAAGTCAGACTTCAGAAAGTTCTTCTGTCATATACTGAACTCAAGATTTTGGGGCAGATTTCAGGTGAGGCTCTGAACAAGAACAGCACCATCACCACCTCAACATCCTCACATCCCTGTCAGTTCTAGCTGACAGCCAGCTAGGGGAACTTGAAAAGGATTGTGCCTCATACAAGCCCCTTATAGCTATGCAAGCAGGGCTGAGAATTTGGCTCTATATGGATGAATAATTAAGTATCATTAAGCCACTAAGGGGTTTGCAATGTGGCAAAGGAGTGAAGAGGTGGCCATTCTGTATTTGACACCTACAGAGTTGCAAATGATAGAAGACCAATGCATCACCCTGCAACTATTTCAGGAGGCCAGAGCACACGGAAGCTGAGCTGCAACAATGCTGTCCTGGGTAACCTAATTTTACTAAGATTTCCTAATGGATAAGACAAAAAGGTACAAAGAGACTTTTTAATCAACTGTTGTTGCTGACAGTATAATAGCTGTTGAAAATGAACTTTCACATTTATAATCAGGAAAACAACAAAAGTACATTTTGAGTCAGCAGTAAATGGAACAACTTTAATGTAAAGATATATACAATTTATACCCCATACATGCAGGAAGAAATGCTTTTTGTACAAAAGATTCTTAATTCTATTATTTATATTTTTTTAAAAATCAGTAAGTTATAAAATGGAGGCAAAATACACATAATGTATACTTAGTTTTAGGTAGAGCTTGAAAATATGTTTGATCCAGTTTAAGAATTTGATCATTTTGATACCCAATATTCTTCACCTTTGAGGGGAAAGCTCAAAAAGATAGTTCATAGATGACCATAACCTGCATTCAAGAGGACTTTTTCCTGTAATGAAATAAAACATTGGTTGACCTAGATGCACAGACTTGAATATATTGTAGATGAGAGGTTTGAGACATTTCCTTTTAATTTTTTTTCCCTTAAAAGTATTCTATATTAAAATATTTGATGAAAGAAACATTACTTGAGGACACCACTCCTTCCTAATAGTACTTAGGGATATACAGAAATGGAGGTTGATTGGCTACAGCAAAGATAGATTGTTCAGCTACTTTAATCACTTCAGTTCCATGCCCTCATGCCCACTTTGTTTAAGACTGATCCCTTATGGCAATTAAGTTGACAAAGAAAATAAGAGCATGTGCACTCACTGGATTCTTGAAGATATAAACTAATGCAAATAAACCCGAGTAACTCACTTACTCCATGGCAGCCTAACTGTAGACTGTTGGTAACTGAATATTGTTCTACATTTACTAAATTATAAGGAGCTTTCTAGGCATTCTTACCAAATCTTTTTCCTATTTGATTTGAAGGTGGGAGAAAACATGGCACAATAAGGACATGAAATTAAGCATTTCTATGCCAGAATAGACCTAAAGACCATATAGTGTGATATTCCATCTCAAAAAGTAGCTACTGACAGACGCTTCAGAAAATTATAAAATAAACACACAATATGCTCCTAATTGTAAAATATGAAAGATTTATTAGAATTAAGCTTCCTGCTTAGGCATCACATACAGAAGAAACTCCACTCAGAAAAGTAAAGCAATCTTTTCCTTATAACACTTGGTTCAATCAGAGTTTGAACCTGATTAATTGTATCAGCATATGCTTTTACAAAGAACAAAATATGTATGTGGAGAGAGAGAAATAGCGGGGTCCCCACAGGACCTGTACTGGCATCAGTGCTATTCAACATACTCATAAATTATCTGGAAAAAGGGACAAACAGTGAGGTGGCAAAATTTGCAGATGATACAAGCACTTTGGAGGATTGAAGTAGAATTCAAAATGACCTTGACAAACTGGAGAATTGCTCTGAAATCAGCAAGATGAAATTCAGTAAAGATAAGTGAAAAGTACTTCATTTAGGAAGGAAACAAAATCAAATGCACAAATATACAATGGGGAATAAGTACTGCTGAAAAGGATCTGGGGGTTATAATGGATCACAAATTGAATACAAGTCAAGAATGTGATGCAACTGTGAAAAACACTAATATCATTCTGTGGTATATTAACAAGAGTGTCATATGTATGACAAGGGAGGTAACTGTCCCACTCTATTCTGCTCTGGTGAGGCCTCAGCTGGAGTACCGTGTCCAATTCTGAGAGCCACACTTTAGGAAAGAGGTGGACAAATTGGAGAGACTCCAGAATGGAGCAACACACCTGATAAAAGGTTTAGAAAACCTTCTCTTTGAGGAAAGGTTTAAAAAAGTGGGCATGTTTACTCTGGAGAAAAGAAGATTGAGGGGAGACCTGATAACTGTCTTCAAGTATGTTAAGGGCTGTTATAAAGAGAAATGTGGTCAGTTGTTCTCCATGTCCACTGAAAGTAGTAGAAAAAGTAATGGGCTTAAACTGCAGCAGGGAGGTTTAGGTTAGCTCTAAGGAAAAGCTTTCTTACTATAAGGGTACTTAAGCCTTGGAATAGGTTTCCAAAGGAGGTTGTGGAATCCCCATCATTGGAGAATTTTAAGACCAAATTGGACAAACACCTGTCAGGGATGGTCTAGGTTTACTTGGTCCTGGCTCAGCGCAGGGGGCTGGACTTGATAACTTCTTGAGGTCCCTTCCAGTCTTACATTTCTATGATTCTATGAAGCGTTTATACCTGATATTATTTTCTACAAGTCATGAAAAACAGAAATTGCAGTCAATTAACATTGCAAGGGAAGTGCTTTAGAGACTAAAAAGTAATCAAGCTGAAGCAGAAAAAAACCTTGAATTGGGTCTTTTCTGCCTGGCAGTGACAGTAGAGTGTTTATGACTCTCTGAAACCTAAGTGCCAAATGACTGAATGTAAAGGTTGGTTTATATGCAAAACGTGTATTTATAAGCAACCTTACTGACCCAAGAACACCTCCAAAAATGCCGAGGAACAGAAGACTGGATGATCTATTTGAGACACTTCAAATGAGTAGCTTTCCTTTACCTTCATAACATCTTTTTCTCATTCTACTCAGTTATAGAAGTCCTAGATCTGAAAGTCAAAATCTGTAACTGTGTCAGCTTGCACTGATTCATGATACTGCAGATCTTCCTGCCACATTACAAGAATCAAAAGATCACCTTCAACTAATGCTTAGGCATCTCTATGCCTTTTGGAATTACCTTCCTAAATACCCCCTGCTTTTTGTATGTGTGTGGTAATAGTAAGCATTGTTTCAAAAGAGGAAATTTTATTTAGCCACCATGAGAACCTGGTAGCTGGTCACAATGCATTTAACATTACCAACTGGTAAGCCACCAGTACCAGCAAAGCCAAACACAGATTGTGAGAGATGGAAACAAATCAAGTACAAATAGACTGTGTGCCAGGTTGAAAGCATATAGACCCATTTAGGGTGTACATTTTGGAGGAATAGTCTTAGTACACAAATATGAGTTTAAAATCAGATGGGAACTACATTCCCTCAAAGTGTCTTTGTGGGCAAAGGGGTTTCACCTGGTCTCATGACTAGTGAAAATGTTGGAGTTCTGCTTGGAGACACCCAATTTGTGCCAAGTTTCCAGAGTGCTAGAATTTAGGAAGGAGGATTTTTTCTGAATCTTACAGAATAAGGTAGTACTAGGCACCTATGACATGGATTGACAGGGATGGGTTAATACTTCCTCTTTCAAAGACGGAAAGAGCACTGATGCTTGCTCCAAGTGCAGGGATTAGAACATAAGAACGGCCATACTAGGTCAGACCAAAGGTCCATCTAGCCCAGTATCCTGTCTTCTGACAGTGGCCAATTGCAGATGCTCCAGAGGGAATGAACAGAACAGGTAATCATCCAGTGACCCAAGTTATACCGACATAAGTTTGTAGTGCAAACCAGGGCTCAGAAACAGCACCAATAGCCATAGTTGCGACTCCAGCTACGAAGAGGATAAATAAATCAGGAAGATATTTTTAAATTATATTCAACATTCAGTAAACTTCTAACACGTATTGAGAGAGAACTCAAAGTGTTTTAAACTTTAAATTACGCGTATCACAAACAAATTCTTGTTACTACAGCAGAGCTGGACCAGCTGTGGTGCATTAAATAATTCCCCCAGCACACTAAAAGAGAGCTGTGCTTTGGGAAGTTGGGGCTAGCTAATATTAACAGTCAGGCATTCCTTGTAATGAGAATGTAACAACACAGAAAAAGGCTTGTTTTATCTACACATTTTGGTAAAAAGACATCTCTTTTTAGTTAAGTTTCATTTGGAACCAGCCTGAGGAAAGCCTTCTTAACTATTAAGTTTAAAACACAGGTTGTGGGAAGTTTTTGTTTGATTTGACAGGGTTCTGAAAAGTCCAGATACATCAATCACCTTTCATGCTTGACTGTGGCTTACTTGACAAAGAGCCACAACAATTTTGTCTGATGGTTTAAAAACAAAGAAAATATTCCCTGTATAGATGAGTTTTTTCAAAAGTTTAAGGGAAACACACTGATTTATTTAAGTATGCATCAGAGGTGCTTAGAGTGTTTGGGGAGATGCCTCTAATTTTATAAATAGAAATAAATAATAAATAATTAGAGGTTACATGTTAATTTATAGCAAAAACTTAGAATGTTCATGCTTACCACAAGACTGTAAAAAGCGTTTCCCATTGCTTCTTTGTAAAAATACTCTTGTTGATAATATTCAGGGCTATGTCGTCCCAATTTTCTTATTTTTTTATCCATACTGTGCAGAACTAGCTGTGACAGCTCTTGGCCTCTCTTGTTTGCTTGAGTGTCCACAAATTTCTTTGTGTTAGCAACAGTTAGAAGGTTGTTTAGAACCTTAATTTTAAAGAGGTAGTTTTAAAAATTTGATATAAAGCATGAGATCAAAGCTATTAAAACATGAACTGGATTAATACTTTCAGAACTAATTATCTCCCCCTCCTCCCCTTGAAAAATTATTTGGGACAAAGGGACACTGACAACGTTTTTTGTTTGTTTTGGGGGGGTGTCAATTTTTAAGAAAAATCAGTATTTTCTAGATCTTTAACTAGTATGGGCTTGAAAATATTAAATTCCTTTTCTGCACTTCTATTAATATTTTTCAAGAATTATTTCAGTGGGGAAGAAACTCGTTGTTTCTCCTACACAGTCAGTAAAGCTGTCAATGCACAAAATAATCAAACTAAACAGTTTCAATATTCAGTTAGACTAGAGATTACTTGTAATATAGAAAATACATAATTTTCAGATAAAGTGATTTTCAAATTGATTGTGTCGCTTTAATTTTATAAATGTAACATCTAAAAAGTGTCTGTTTTACCATAACTTTATCAGAAGGATTAAGCAAGCATCACTATGTTTATGTCTAAAATGTAAATTTGCATTTCTGAAAAAGCATGCCCCAATCCCAGTTTGACTTTCACATACTAAATACCTACAATTTAGGCATTGTACTTGCATGACACCAGTATACCCTGGGCAAGCACACAACTGGGAGAGGTTTCTGGTGGAGACTGAAAAAGCTTCTCTATATAAGAAAGTTGCACTAGTTTAAGTAAAGGTGTGATTTTTACACTGATTTAATTAAATCACTACAAAAGTCTGTTTGAATATTCTTATCTTGGCTTAAACTAGGTTTATTTTGGTTTAGGTTAGGTTGATTGGGGATAGATTTAAGATCAAACAAAACAGGACACACTTAAACCAAAAGAAGTTTCTATGTATAGGCTTGCACCAGTCAAAAACATTTTAAATTAAACTGGTGCAACTTTCTTACATGGCTAAGACCATACACCAGGGCAGATGTGTAATATTGCTTCTTCCAAGCCTCATGTTCAAGGACCGAAAATGGTTAACAACAAAAGGTGAGAACATAAAAAAACAACAGTTAACAACAAACAAATAATAGCTGAGGTACGTAATATACAACTTTTACATACTTTACATTCTCTGATGCATCTTATTGTTAAACCTGCTTGACAATCTTGTCTTTGCTATGTATTACTATTATTACTGTATATTACTGTATATGCATATACAGTAATATTTAGTGTATTTATGTCTTACTATTGTCTAATGTTTGCTACAAAGTGCTAATCTCCTGTGCAGAACATAACGGAAGACACAGTCTTAAATTTTGGTTGACATAGTTTTTCTCTGGTGAATTAGCACTGATAAAGTTCAGGGGAAAAGCGAGTTTTAAGGAGGGTTTCAAATCAGAATGGAAGGTAGGCTTGTTGGTTGGTGTACAAGGTTAAGGAGTGAGTTACAGATGTAAGGGACAGAATGAAAGAAATCATGTAGAGTGAAAGGATATATAAGTAATACTTAGAAGGGCAACCTTCAAGGAACATAAGCAGTGAGAGGAAGAGTTGGAAGAAATGAGAGCTGAGATGTTCTGAAGAGCTTGGAAGAATGAGAACCTTGAATTTAATGTAAAAGATTAAAGAAAGGCAATTAGGCAATTCAAAGAGGGGATGGACATGGTGAGAGAAAGCTGATTTTGGCAATACCATTTTGGATAGATTACAGGGGGACGAGATGAGACCAGAGAGGAGGTAACAGTGGGCAAGGTGAAAATTAGTCGAAGTCTGGACTAGGGTTTCAGCAGTAGGAAAGGAGGGCAAGGATGAAATTTAGAGAATGTTGCAGATGAAGAACCAAAAAAGCTGGCAATAGCTCAGATGTAGGGGTTAAAGAAACAGAAGAATCAAAAGTAACACTGAAGCAGTGATCCTGAGTGAAAGGGAGGCTAGTGACTCAACCATTATTCTGCTGGGAAAAAGGGGATTTCGGTTTTTGCCATAATTAACTTTAGTGTGTCACAGGATAACTAGAATGAGATGCCAAAAAAGTATGGACACGTAAGACTGAATAGAGAGGGAGTGGATGGGGATGGAAAGGTAGCTTTGTTGTCCTCAAGTGGAGAGATAATGAACAAAGACAAAAGAGAGAGGATGTGGTACCCAAGTGATGAACTGTGAAGGGAAAAAAGGAAGTGACTGAAGATGACCTTAAGGAGGTCTACGGAGAACAGAAGGAAGGAAATTAAGAGAAGCTTCCAAGAAAGATGTTGAAGGAGTACTTAGGGAGGTAGGAGAACCAGTATAATGTATGAATGATTGATTTAATTTCCATCATATAAACTTGAACTTACAGGTAGCTCATAATGCTCCTCTTCAAAGTAATGACCATCCCAAAACTCAAGAGTAACACTGCCAAAAGTTGGCAAAAGTTTTAATGTCTTTTTCTTTATACCTTCAGCCATAACATCCTTCACTGGCTGAGAGATTACAGACTGGAGAAATTCCTGCAAAATACACAGAAAAAGTCAGATTCCTCCAAGAAAAAAAGATTAAACATGAACTGCCTATTTTTCACTCCCATAAACTGTCCATCATTTATCTTCACACTTCAAGCTTCTGTACTGGAAGTTAGGATGTAAGATTTTGCAAAGCATAATGTCGTCCTCTGCCTATTTTATCTATTAGTATTCTTGGATAATGAGCATATTTTCTCTTTAGTAATCTCTTTGAATGGTTTTTGGACTATATATATTTGTTTACGCAACACCATAATACCCAGTACCTACCATATTTCTTAATTTTACAGCTTACAAGAAGGACCCTAAAGCCACAACAGTTTGGTGTTATTGCATATACAGGAACCTAAACTAACTTCTTCTGCAATTCTGCAGGTATAGCGATTTACATGTTTGCATCAATAGCAGCAAGAAACAAAACACTGCCTCAAATTTTGAAATCAGCAGATTTTATTTAACACCACAGTTATAAATCCAGGGCAATAAAAAAAGGGGACTAGAGCAATATCTCATAAATATAATGATGCTTTGCAGATGTTTGCTATTTAATCCAATGGAATGAATGTATAGTTCCATGTGGATAAATTATATCAGACCCCATCATACCAGAGGCAGTGAGAGAGGGTTCAATCTCAAAAGGCAAATTTCTTGATACTGGACTGATAAAATCTTTTGAAATTTTGAAGCTTAATTTATTTCATACAATAAAAACGTGTTGTACCACAATTTATCTAACCTTTTTATAAACGTTTGAAACCCAGGCATGCAATATTTACTCTCAGAAATAATCTTTGCTCATGTGAATGGTCCTCAATTAAATCAATAGATTACTTACAGAATCAGACCAATAATATCTTTAGAAAATACCGGAAACCCAGAACAAGGAACATCTCCAGGTCTTGTTCTGCAAACCACCACCAGGGAGGTGACAAGACTGAGGTCTAGAATAAGCAGCAGACAAATAATAACTGCTGCTCTTTTAGTGCCTCCTGCTGGCCAGTTCACTAATATTTGTCTCAAAGGAGGCTGATCATCCACCACTATTGCAGAATAAAAAATACTGTCATGATTGTTTAATTCGGAGGGAGTTGTTCCCACCAAATCCTCAGTCTTCCCATGAGTATCTCTTTGGTACTTCTTAGCAGTTAGTTTTGGAAGACACAGAGTACTGGAAGATGGTTATTTGCGCTTTCGGACACAGTGGGCCTTATCTGTGCAGACAGGACCTGCGGGATCCCAGTTGAAATCAGCTGGAAAACTTGGACCCAAAATGAGTGTAGCGTCCAGGCAAAGCACTCCCTTACAAAATGTGATTTAGTAGTGAAGGTGGAGTTGTATAGGCATCTCACAGTACAGAGGTGGGTGCAAACTGTTTAGTCCTCAGTGAGCCAGCCTTACATTTTTTCTTAATGACAGCTCTGGTGTAAGTTAAAATTCTCCTGGCTGACCAGTATAAAGCTGGATGATGCATGGTTGGATGCCAGGGATTCTAGCACCATGAAAAAGTAAAAGGTCTTACATCAAAAAAATTACTCTGTGCAGATAAATTAATATTTGTAAAGTACTATAAAATGCTGGGTATTATTGCTTACAAAAGCGCCACTTCAAAATGACTAATTAGCCAGGCTGTTAGCAGTTCTAATAACTTTTATGTCAAACAAATATAAGTTAGGAGGAAAATAAAATGTAAAATACATCTCCTGCCAGAAAGATCTTCATAGGCATATCCAATGAAAAAATCTGATGGAAATGGAGGTTGGCCCAACACCAGATATACAGGCAGTTGCATAGCCACAATAATAGCTTGCAGCAGACACACCCAAGAGGTCATCTAAAAGACAAGAGAGCAAAGCATTCTGTTGACATTGGGCCCAGCAAATGCCAGCTGCCGGATTACATCATATGGAAGGGCAAAATAAAATCAATTCTGCCAGCTATGGCAGGACCCAGTGCCCACAGGGATCATGTGCCTATGCAATCACTATACAGGGGTGTGTCACTTTGATGGATAAAGGCGGTGCCTAGAAAATAAACACACAGTATGTGCATTTACTTCCCAATTCTCCACTGCCTTGCACCTTGTGTATTTTGAATTTACTGCACATGTGAACTCTGTGAACTAATGAACTTCTGTAAATAAACTGGTACTTTTCTCTTTGGTATCTCCAGGAACCATGAAGGGAAATGGATTAGAGAAACTTTGGTTAACCGAACCACTATCATTTTCAGTTAGCTCAGATAGTTGCCATTACATTGGAATCCTACTTTGCATGAAAGGAAGTTTGAAGTTGTATAAGAGTAGCAAGAAGTTTAAAGAGAGCATTTAAACAATCCTTACTCTCGTATTTTTCTCAAAGTTAACTCATATGAGCTAGGCAAATTGTGTGAATAAAGGTTTACGTGAACAGTTCCATGTCCATCATTAGTATACCAGTCTTTCCCTTTCATGAGTATTAAAATTCACTATGTTTCCCCTCTCTTTCCAGTTTGTCAGAAGAAAAAAAAAAATCTCATCATCATCCAGAATACTTACTGCACTTGGAGAACCCTGAAACAACGGAGTACTGTGCACACCACTCCTCACATAGTCACTGCAAAGGAAGCAAGGACAAAAAATGGACAAAACAGGCCATATCTGTTTCTCCCTCACAATTTTACTATTAATAGAGTCTCTAGTACTACAAATGTAGAACTGAAGTGTAATTAGATGATAACTGAAGAGATTTTGTGTTTCTGAGATAATCTCATAGACTCATAGACTCATAGACTTTAAGGTCAGAAGGGACCAATATGGTCATCTAGTCTGACCTCCCGCATGATGCATAAATATAAATCTATTTATAATAAACTCGAAGACAGAAGGCTGAAGTGTTTATTAATCTAGGATATTAAAGGTTATAAAGTTAGCAGGATGTACCTTCAAGTTATTACTATTATGCTAAGATGTCTATTGATTAAATATTTTTGAGACATATTGGTAAGTGGGGTTTCCCTTCTGTCAACTAGATGAAATAAGAAATCGAGGCACCCATTTCTGAAGTCTCAACCCTGAATGTTCAGTTCTCTCTCTAGGTTCCCTGCTTCTGGACCCACCTGCAATACTAAATATCATTGTGATGAGCTAAAGAGCCAACTTCAATATATACCCAGTACATTTTTCTTTCCTTAACTACTCTAAAGACTTTTTGCCTAGTACAGCACATCAAGGATTTAGAATTCACCACTGTTAGGATTTATATACCAAACAGCTGTGCCAAGAATTCACAGAAATTAAACTGCAGTTCCGTGAGCAGCATAATCTGTTAACTTGTCCTCGGGTATTTACAATTACACAGCTTTACAAACTGCAATACAGTCCACTCCATTTAAGCTGCATTTCTCTGTTATTTTAAAAGTATCACTTTCCCAGGCATGTGAGAATGGGAAACAAATTCAGCTCTGGCGTAAGTGAGTACAACTGAAGCTAGTGACCAAGAGACCACTTATGTCAAGGCTAAATTTGGTCCTGAGAGATCTGCAAAGAAAGGGGGTGAGAGGGAAAAAAGGAGGAGTATTTTGTATCAATCAACAGTATCCCCTCTAGGTAATTAAGGAGCAGTGATAGACTCCAAAATGGAATCCCATCCACTCTTCACCCAGAAAGATGATGGATGCTGTGACATTAACTAACAACAATGGGAGGATACACAGTGCTTCAAAAGGTTTGTGGAAAACACACGCAGGGATGGGGGGGAAGTGTTACATGATAGATCTCTGGGAAAGATAAAGCTCTGCATCTCAACACCAGCCTGTGTTACAGTATGGCAGTGAAAGAAACAGTTAAGGTTTTATAAATTTGAAATATATAAAATATGATGTTTGTAAATTAATTTAGGTGATCCACTTATGGCTGTGGGTTTAGAGGGTTCCTAATCAGGCTCTGGAAGCTAAGAGCAAAGACCTTAGCATTTAGTCTTGTAAAGGCTTTCTACATAATGAATAGAAGCAGTGGCGAAGCTAATAGGAGGGCATGGGGTGACTGGCCCCCTGGCCACCTTTAGGTGTACATATTGCACCTTTTCAAGCCAATAGGTATAATGGACCCGTCACCCCCTCCCAGCTCCACTCCTGCTCAAAACCTGGCTTTGCTACCGAATGGAAAACAATCATAGAATCATGTAAATGTAGGAGTGTAAGGAACCTCAAGATTTCATCCAGTCCAATCCCCTGCACTGAGGCAGGACTAAGTGTTATCTAGACCAACCCCGACAGGTATTTGTCCAACCTGTTCTTAAAAACCTCCAATGATGGGGATTCCGCAACCTCCTTCGGAAGCCCATTGCAAGGCTTAAGTACCCATACAGTAAGAAAGTTTTTCCTAATGTCTAACCTAAATCTCCCTTGCTGCAATTTAAGCCCATTGCTTCTTGTCCTGTCCTCACTGGCCAATGAGAACAATTGATTACCCTCCTCTTTATAACAACCTTTCACATACTTGAAGACTGTTATCATGTCACCCCTAAGACTTCTCTTCTCCAGAGTAAACAAACCCAATGTTTTCAATCTTTCCTCACAGTCATGTTTTCTAGACCTTTAATCATTTTTGTTGCTTTCTTCTTGACTTTCTCCAATTTGTCCACAGCTTTCCCGAGACGTGGTACCGAGAACTGGACTCAACACTCCATTTGAGGCCTTACCAGTGCTATCATGTCTTACTTATAACACTCCTGCTAATACATCCCAGAATGATATCTGCTTTATCAATATTTCATTGACAACTCATATGTAGTTTGTGATCCACTCTAACCCTCAGAACCTTTTCTGCAGTATTCCTTCTTAGGCACTCATTGCCAATTTTGTATTTGTGCTACTGATTATTCCTTCCTAAGGGTAGTACTTTGCATTTGTCCTTATTGAATTTAATCCTATTTATTTCAGATCATTTCTCCAGTTTGTCAAGGTCATTTTGAATTCTAATCCAGTCTTTGAAAGTGCATGCAACCTCTCTGAGACTGGTATAATCTGCAAACGTTGTAAGTGTACTCTCTCATGCCAATATTCAAATAATTTATGAAGATATTGAATAGAACTGGACCCAGAACAGATCTCTGCAGGACCCCACTTGATATGCCCTTCCAGCTAGACTGTGAGCCATTGGTGACCACTCTCTGGAGTATGGTTTTCCAACCAGTTGTTCAGTCATCTTATTTAAGATTCATCTAGGCTATATTTCCTAGTTTGTTTATAAGAAGGTCACGTGAGACAGTATAAAAAACCTTACTAAATTCAAGATATATCACATCTACTCTTTCTCCCCATCCACAAGACTTTTTACCCTCTCAAAGAAGTCTGTTAGGTTGGTTTGACATGATTTTTCTTGACAAATCCGTGTTAACCTTTATCACCTTATTGTCTTCTAGGTGCTTACAAATTGATTTCTTGATTATTTGTTTCATTATCGCTCTGGGTACTGAAGTGACACTGACTGTTCTGTAAGTCCCTGGGTTGTCTTTATTCCCCTTTTTATAGATAGGTACTATATTTGCCCTTTTCCAGTCCTCTGGGATCTTTCCCGTCTTCCACAAATTCTCAAAGATAATTGCTAATGGTTCAAAGATCTCTTCAGCCATTTCTTTAAGTATTCTAGGATGTATTTTATTAGGCCCTGACGACTTGAAGACATCTAACTTGTCTAAGTAATTCTTAACGTGTTCTTTCCCTATTTTAGCCTCAGATCCTACTCCATTTACACTGATGTTCACTACATTAGTTGTCCGATCGTTGCTAACCTTTTTGGTGAAAACTGTAACAAAAGAGGCATTTAACACTTTGGCCATTGCTGAATGACGACAGCCATTTCCAAAGCGCCTGCTTTTTAATTCCCGGGGTTATATAGTCTCTCCAAATGAAACAAGCAACTGATTTAACTTTCTAATATTAAATCTCCAGACAGCATGCTATTCATACAGTTTATGCAGATGTCTTTACCCTCTGGAAAACCAAAGTTTAAGAAAAATTGCTTTTATCTTTGCGGAACATTTTAAGTCTCAAGCTAACTACATTAAAAAATCTAACTCTATTACTTTGTATTTGACATTTTGTTACTAGATTGGTAATAGGAAATTACCAAATAAAATTGGTATTTTACTTGGTAATTTTCTTCTGTGGTTCTTGGCTAATATGAAAGACGGTGATCATAAAATTTATTCAAGTTTTCCTGTCAACAACATCATTAACCAAATCCCTCAATTTCAAAGTAAATAAAAGCATCTGGGTTTCTAGCACAGCAAGACTGACTTGCATATTTAAGCCTCATATATAGATGAATTTCCACTGGACTAGATTTGCATATTAATGAAGACTAATTGCTCTTTGCAGTCAATTTTATGCAAATTAATTTACTACTCTTTGTACATGTTTCATAATGTTTGGAAAGATCCAAAAAAATCCAAAACTTAATGAAAAAGCACAAATATTTGACAACCAAAAGAAAGAAAGAAAATCACAATTACAGCAGACAGCTTTATAGTAAAGTTTTATATAATTAATCTTATATATTGTTGGTTTATTTTAACTTTATCCCACAAAGAAACACACAATTCATAGGATAACTTCAGCCTTCCTCCCTGCCTTTCTTTTCAGCCCCTCAAAATGTAAGAGCTTGTGACTACCCATTACAACACCTTGCTTCCAGCTGGAAGGATGATGAACCAACTCTAATGCTGAGTTTAAAAAAAAAAAATTGGTTTGGAGGTGGTGGTTGTTTTAGCCTGCTAAACAGAAATGTCTTTCCTCTCTACCTGCTTCTTGCTACAGGCCCGTTACAAGAATCCAATCTATGACCTTGAAGAATCCAACAGTATATTTTAGATGCAGATTCCTCTCCAAGAAAAATGAGAATAAATACTGAACAAACATAAAAGGCATAAAGCTAGGAACTGAAGTATTATGCATTATCAAGATGAAGACCTAGCTTCATATCCTCATTCAGTTTCTCACTCTTCAAGATGAAATACAATATGTTGGGGGATGAAGGGAGCCACACAGGGAAAAAGAAAATAACTGTTGAGTAGGAAAAGCTAAAATAGTGAAAGAAATAGAGGAATAGTATGAGGCAAAGGCAAAGAAGATATATAAAGACTGGAGTAGAAGAGGAATGGAAATGGAGACTGAGTTTGAAGGAGGGGAACATTCAGTGTGTGCATACAGAGATAGGCTGAAAGAGGAAAGTGAAGAGCTAGAAGCAGAGCTCAAGGTGAGAAAAAGAAATAAAAAGACAAAAAATACAGAAAGCCCCAAAAAACTAGAAGAACAAAACAAAGAAAGCAAGAAATAAAGTGGGAATAGGAAACAGGGTAGAAGACACTTTAAAAAGACAGCGATAAGACAAAGACTATACATGTCTTGTTTTTAATTCTGAAAATGGGGAGAGCAGTAGGAAGGGAATGGGGGGAGAAGAATATGTACTTGTATTCATACACATCCTGCCTCCAGTGATGATGTCCCTATCTCAGTTGTAAAGACTAATCACCTTAACATTTGTACACATCATAAAATCGCCTAACGTTTTTAGTTTTAATATGCAGAGGACTAAGATCAGAACTAAAACTTTGCTTGACTACAATCTTTCATTTGCACAAACACCACAATTCTCTCTCTCTCTCTCTCTCTCTCTCTCTCTCTCACACACACACACACACACACACACACATTTTGTTCAGGATGTACACAGAAGTAAATAATTTTTATATGAAAAATGCAAAACCTTATGGCATCAGTTCAAGATAACAAACTTGAGCCATTTCAAGAAATGGGTAAGTATTCAAAAGGAGTAGTTTAGGGGATCCCATAACCTTGTTTGCCTCAGGCAAACACTACGGTTGCAATTGTGTTTTGTACTATACTCTCTCAAATTTTTCTGTTTCATCTGGGAAGTACCGTAATTCTTTCACCAGATGACCTTTAGGAATAGACATTGGATATAAAGCAGTGGCATTTTGAGCTCCAAACAGTAGCAGCCAGATCAATGAAGTACCTCTTCTGCTCTCTCAATAACTTGCTTATTGCTCAAAAGTGGATGTTTTGATAATCTGTACAGATACCCAGTAGTCTTCCTACCAAAAACAGAGTAGGGGTTCATGCTTTCCTGAAACTTATAAGCTGCTCTGCAACTTACTAAAGATATTTTCACTTCTGTAACAAAGGTAGTCTGAATATACAGAATGGTTGGTTATGCATACTAAACACATAAAAAATTCAATTATGAGGAATTATTTTAAGAGAGCTTTCTACGAAGCTTTTGGGTCTATACAAATGTCATTCACTGCAAAGTTACAGAATACACATTCGTACTTTAGAATCTCATTATTCAGCATTGGTTGAAGTGTTCCAAAGAGGATATGGACATGCTGTGCTCTACACAACTCTCACTCTGAAATACTATTCAAATGGATCTCAAGGTTAGGGTCTCCTGCAGTTAGCTCGTATATTACCATCTTAATTTAGAAAGGGGCAGATTCACTAGACAATGTGACTTTGGAATTAATCAATGTAATCTCAGTTTTAAAATCTACATCTAGTTATTAATGTTTTCTTATCACAGAAGTCCAACATTCTGCAATTTTCATATTTTTAAAAATCCATTAATTTAGATATTTAGGATTTTTTCCCTGTCAGTGGATAGAAGTGCTGACAAACAATATAACCATCTCACTGAAAATCTGAAGAGTTTAAGTTGAAACGTAAGTTTCATGAGAGGCTAATGGAGAGCAGGAATTCTACAATGCCATTGCAGAAACACAAAGGACCAAATCAATGATTTCTCTGTGGGAACTTTAATTCCTCCAGAGGTTGTGAAATTTCTCCCTTCTTCAGCAACAACATAAATTAAGAAAGTTAAGTGGGTTTGGGTTTACCAAGGTCAGTGCTGGAATGGCAACTCAGAACACCCGGTGAGATAATGTTACTCTCATTTTGCAAATAGAGAACTCAGGCATAAAGAGTATATGACTTGCCCAAGGCCCCACAGGCAGACTGTGGCAGAGCTGGGCATTGAATCCATATCTCCAGAGTCCTATTCTAGTGCCTCAACCACAAGATCATCTTTCTTCCCTGTTATTTTCCCTCACAAAACATTTGTGTGAAGTTCTCAAGCATGAAAAAACACGCTATCTGCAGTTCTTGTCACCATCAATTTCTGAAGATGTTTGCAGGTCCAACGAAAATATGTTAAACTTTAGACTATTGGCATATATTTCATAACGATAAATAGCAGTATATATTTTTCACTTTACCTGTCAAAGAGTGGAACAGCAGTCCAGCCTAACTGTGATTGTGTATTAAGCTCCAGGATCTGACCAGGGTGAGAGATTACTTTTCCTGGTCTCTGTCCACTTGGATCCGGAACATAAATAGCATTCAGGCCAAATATTTGAATTAAAAGCACACTATGATCATCAAGATAAGGGTGTAACACCTAGAACAAAATACAGAACTTTTAAGAGAGAGGCCTAATTTAACAAAAACAAAAAAAATTGAATCAAAGAAAACTAAAGGTAGAATAAAGCAATATGAAAAGGAGAAATGTCTCAAGATGTTCCACCCAAAAAGATTACACTTCACTGAATTCTTCTTTAGAGCTTTGGGTGTCTGCTTCTAACCACTGAGTAAAGTTAACATGACCAGATTTAATTAGCTCTTTGACAGTACAATTTAGGTGCATCCATTACCAGTGATGGATGTCACAGGAGGAAAACTGAATCCAAAAAGAAAAATATATTTTTACCAACCAAACACACAAATGGAAAAACCATGGGGAGCTGATAGCACATGAATATTCTTCTGTGAAGATGCATAAACATCGGTACAGAATGTATATGGGAAATGTTATTAAGTGTCTACTGAAAACTTCTTTCTGCATTGTTAATAAAACAAATTTACTGAACAACAACAAAAAAAGCACCCTCCAAAACTTACATGCCACAAATTTGACTATTTCTCAACACTGTGCTTTGAATTAATGGATGAAATCATCCAGGTTGTCACTTTAAACTTGCAATTGGACAGTGAGAAATTACTAATTCTTGACAACCAAAAGAGCTAAAAGATGCCTCCTCACCACTTCATGAAATCACCACGGCTTAGCTAACTCCTGTGAGGCAACTGATTGAGATTTTGCCCCTTAACTTGAAAGACAGTTCTCAGCAGTTAAGTGTACGTTAATAGGTATTTCTCTGCAGAACAGATGTTTTTAAGTTTCATGGGTATCATAAATATTAAGATCTGTGCAGTGTATTTTAGAAAAGAGTTCTCAATTGTTAATACTCAATGTAACACTGAACTAGGGGAATTTGATCCTATAGGGAGGTTTAGAATATATAAAGAAGTTGGAGAGAGGTTTTTCATGTTTTGGTTTAGCTAACTGTTTGTAGTAAAACACAGTATTGTTCTAATTCTGAAATATGCTGCTAATCATGATGTGAAAAGTTATTACTATAGCCATACAATCCATTCCTGAAGGCCAGTTTTATTTTTTCCCCCAGTAAAGTGAAAGTTCAAATGCCCTTTAAAATAAGCAATTCAGTACAAACCAATGCATCCACTATTGATTTATTTTATTCATAAAGTAATAATTTACTGGTAAAATTCAGGCAATTTAATTAGAAGTTTAATCAACTTAAATAAATCAAAAGGACAATGAAAGCAAATATAACATGATTAAACCACAATAATTTGTGAGAAAAAGGCACACAACTTTCAATTCCATTTTACTCCAAATCATATATTGAACAAAAACAGGCTTTTGAATTGTTTAAAAGAAAGCTGTATCCATTTTGCTCTTTGCGATGTCTGGGAGTCCATAAGGGAAGGTGAATTATCATTTAACTAAACTGTATTTGAAAGTAAAGTTTTTGATTCACAGCTGCATTTTTGAGCCTTCTCCTGGCAGTACCAGCAGTCTCAGAATGCAATGCCAGAGACTGTAACTCAGTTTTATTGTTAAACTAATTTTAAAGAAAAACTTTGCTGTTTAATATTTAAACTGTATAATTATTCCTTTAACACAATGCCCAGAGACAGTGAAAACAATGAGTTTCAGCTGTAGTGGTTGGTCTAGGTTGTAGAGAACCTGCACAGGAGCACATCACAACTGCTGTGTACTGTGGAAGCAATTTCCACTGCAAATCTCTAAAGGGAGGAAATGTACGTCTCTCCCACAAACCTGGGTGAGGCCAGTGGGTACATGCACATAGTGGATCCATGGAATTCAAATCCCAGTAAATGGGGGAGCCACAAACTATATCCATTACCCCTGTTCAGTACCTAACAGCAGTTGGCCTTGGTATGGCTATATGCTGGTGCCTTGGTCCTTAAACACAGACAAAAGGATTACTTTCCTCAGTCCTGTTATGTTGCAGTGCAGATTCAAGCAAAGAAAACCTTTCCAACCAGCCCTTTGCTCACTTGGCAACTAGACACTAGAGAGATGGGTGCACAATAACTGCTTTGACAGATTTCCGAGGATTAGGCCTGTAATTTTGAAACAAATATTCCATTTGTGAAAAATCAATATTTAGCTCCAGTTGGGGGGGGGGGGGGGAAGGGGGCAGATTCTATTAAAAACTGGATCTCAGGAATCTAGTGTAAATTGTAATTGCTACTGTTAATTTGTGCCAGTCATGTTAGGAGACTTTAGGAATATGAAGATATCTCCTTATTACTAGAGTAGATATACTAGACTGCTATATGTAAGAAGGAAGAATTCCGAACTGTAGCAGAGAAAATCCTCATACATTTGAGGAAAAGAGGAGCCAAATTATGACATTTTTCTCCACTTAGAATGCAAACCTTTTGTTGTATTTACTCAAGGTGGATACAATGTCCACACATGCCGAAGTAAAGAGAATGTAAAATGGGCTAAATGATGTCTCTGAAATCCAATGGAGCATTGGAGTGATGTGAACAGTGGCTGCGGAGAAAGGCATTATGCCTGTGTAAGCCATAATGCCTCCAGGCACAAAGGAGGAAACATATTTAGCAACAGCACTTGCTATATGCACTTATTTAAAAGGTGCAGCATGTGCTTACTCCCTTTCGGGTGCACTAGCTGGCATGCAAGGCGCAAGACCTTGTTGATCCGGAGTTTGTAATGATGTCAATAGTACTAGTTGGACCCCCAATTCTTTTGCTCATGCAGCACAAACAGCTGCATTATGGGTATGTAACATTTGGGTGCTCTTGGAAGGGAGAAAGGGTTTCTGTGCACATCCTCCCTCCCCCTACAAGACAACCACACAGGAGCAGTAATAATTTCACTCTCTATTTTCTAATGGGTTAACTGTTGGGTTACAGAAATTAAATGATATAAATCATATTGATTTATTGCATTCAATTATTTTCTTATATTGTAAATATATATTACATACAAAAAACTACATGAAAAGAACATTAAGATTGCAAGCCAAGAACTCAAAAGTTAGGAACTGCCTGTACAAACTTAATTTGATCACCTTGTGCATATTAATTATGAGACAGCCTTTAATTACATGCTCACATACTATTTTTTCCCCACAGAACCTCCTGCCCATTTAGTGCACAGGATGTGCCTACTCTGACAATGAATCAGGTTTGAGTAGTGAAGGAGATGGTTGGGTGTAGGACCCTTGCCTCATTTGTTGCAGAAGTTGGAAGGTGTGTAGAAAATGAGGCAGGGGCTTACAGGAAGAGATAGGATAGCCACGTGGTTAATGCACTTGAGTGCTGTCCTGGATAAATGTATTCTATCCATTCCTCTGCCACAGAATTCCTATATGATAGTAGGCAGGTCACTTAAACCAAACTTATTAACAATTGGTCACTAACTGTGTGTTCCTCATTTTCTGGGTGCCCAACTTGAGACTGGGGCTGGAATGAAGAGAAAGTCCCTCTTTGCCCCTGTAGGCCAGGGATAGCACATGCATAGTCCAGTCATATGCACAATCTGGTCAGAAATAGGAGATATGAAGGGGTGGAGCATGCTCAATGAGGATGGAATCTTCTGAGATTTTAGCTGCTAAACTCTAAGTCTCTATCGAGCAGGTGCACACTGAGAAATCAGGGTCTTACAATGGGAAGTGTCTGGCAACCTTAACAATAGGCCGTGCTACCAGCCCCATCTATAATGCTATTAAAAACTCCATAAAATGAAAAGAAACATTAATAATTAGTGTGTTAACTGCTGTTGAGCACAAATCGCACATTGATTTGTAGCTACAGAGTACTGGAAAGAGCACTCACTTTTAGAAACAAGGCCTTACTTAGAGTATAAAATTTATTTTGATAATAAAAAACATATATGTCCTAATGCAAATGGAGACAGATCTAATTAATCAAGCCACTGGGAAACTGGTCACTAGGTGAAAATAAGACTGCTTTATCTTTCCCTGTACCATGGTGGCCACCACCCAAGCAACCACTCCTGGCCAGGGGTGCGTCTGCAGTGCCATGCTCTGTTTTCCCCTTCTTCAGGTCTCCTTAAACGCCACACAATCACTCTCATTCAAATCACAACCCTGCCTGGGGTCAGGTTTCTTTATTTACAAAGTTCCAAGAAGAAACATTCACAGAACAAATCTTCCACCCAGCCTTAAGCAGTGCACAGCCCCTCCTCGCTGAGGTGCTGTTTCACTTGGGTCTTCTCCTCCAGACCCAATACCCTTCTTCAGGGACCATTGCAGGAGACCTTCTCTCCCTGCAGCTTCTCTCCACAGTTCCTCTTCTAGCTTTTTCTTCACTGAGCGCCCTCTGACCCTTTAGAGTCCCCTTAATTGGTTCAACTGGGAGCACACCTGTTCTGGCACAGGGGAGCTGGACCTATTTTTAATCACAGGGGCCAGTCATCGTGTGACATTCCTTATGAATATTATATACTAATTGCTCAATCAAATTTCAAGTGCCAGATAACAGCTGGCATAGAAGCTGAACCATACCTATAAAGTTTGGGTTTATCAGCTCAGTTATTACCCTTAGACCTCACAGAAGTTTGTTTTTTCATTATTTTAAAAAAGAAAAATATCTGTAAATATCCTTCTCTCTCCTGATATAGGCCATTCGTGGGGAGCAAATGCAAAGAGGCAGTTATTACATACCACAGATGGATCCGTCCACCGTGGTGAGCTCTGTAGACTTGTAAAATCAAGTTGGCTTGTTAGAAATGTTTCTTCTCCTGCCCATTGTTGAGGTAACTCAGGCAAATGCATGCTTGTAGCTCCCTTAAGGACTCTGGCTAACACATTTACATAATATCCACCAGCTGCATAAAAAAAATAGGCAGCACAGAAGATTAATTTGTACATATTTATGACTAGGCATCTAAAATACCAAGAAGTACAACTATATTGCTACTTATCACTTTTACATTAAGTCAGATAGATTGTCAATGAGACAACCTGGTCTTTGAGGGGCAAATCCTGTCCACTTAGCAAAGTCCGAATAATAAGGTGGTATGTTGAGGAATACAGTGGAGGTTGAGGGGCAGGAATGGTGCTTCCTCAGGCAGTTGGGAGAAATGGCCAATGGATCAATAAAACTGCAGATTCATTGGTCCCATCAAAAGAGAAAAACCCTGCCTGCTGGGAACCTGGGAGCCCTTGTGGAGCGCAACTCTGTCACATGCTGATGGGGCAGGTTCTCTGTGCTGGCTTCCAGAATCCACCCAATGGAGCAGAACCACCTGATTCCCTAGGACTATTGAGGGCTGGTAGGATTTGCCCCTTAATGCTCAGGTGCATGGATTTTATGTTCCTCGTCTGTGAAAATCATTGTTGATGGGAATAGGAACTCCCAAAATCATAACTACACCTCTACCTCGATATAACGCTGTTTTCGGGAGCCAAAAAATCTTACTGCGTTATAGGTGAAACCGTGTTATATTGAACTTGCTTTGATCCACCGGAGTGCGCAGCCCTCTCCCCCCGGAGCACTGCTTTACCGCGTTATAGCCGAATTCGTGTTATATCGGGTCGCGTTATATCGAGGTAGAGGTGTATTTTTAAAACACAAATGACATTTCTCTCTCTCTCCAATCATACTGTTAATTAGCCATACTATTTTATTTTACTTTAGTATTCTACTTTATTTTATTACTATACATTGTTCAGAGGTACTTGCAATAAAGACATTTCACAAACTACCTGTGCAAACTTACAGATCCTGCAAAAAAATCACAAGCACATTTACCATCATGGGGAATTTTGGTCATAGTGAAAAGTTTTGTTTTGTTTTGTTTTAAATAGTATTGCTTATTAAAATAAATAAAATACAAATAGTAATCTTTGAGTATTTGTAATCACCTTTAAGTCCAAAGGCTTGTTTGACCTTTATCCGGATGCCTACTTCCTGCCGATAACGAACTGCATGATGTATATTGATATATTTTGGAAAGTGTTCTGGTCGTGAATGTCTTTTTTCATCCAACCTTTCCACATACCAGGCTTCCAAATGATCAAGTGTAACTGCAGAAACAAACACTGACATCTTATATATAATTTGGCAATTGATGAAATGCCTTTTTTGATAATATCTTTTGAACAAAAATTGCCCAATTCTGCATTTTGATGCTTAAATCAGCACTTACACATCCAAAATAACCATTTTAAACATTTAAGTTCCACACCATGTATCCAAATATAAAGCAAAAGGTATGTCTAGACTGTAGGTTTCACATGTGTCATCCGATGCATTTTTGCCCATACCTCCCTATTATCCACACTCCAATCATCTAATTCAGTGATACTCATACTGAGGTTCAGGAGCTGCAAGTGGTTCTTTAATTTGTCTCCTGCAACTCTCTGCAGCGCATGATATTAAAACACTGTGTGATTTAATTATTAATCAGTCTAAGTTATCAACCAATCAGGATGGTTCTACTATGTTATTAACCAATTATAGAATTGCTGTGAGAATAATAGAAGAATAAGATATTAGGTGCATCAGTGATGATGGGGCACTTTCTTGTGTCTGTACCAAACCTGTAAGCCAGAGTGTCTTGAGACCACTCCATGCCTTTTAGCCTCACAGATGTTGTATAGGGCATGTAACAAAGGTAGTAGTACCTTTTCGGCTGACATACTCATTGGCTCCTGCTGGTGGGCAAAGGGGTTTGGGGACTCTACTCTCTGCAAGAGAGCTATTATTTCAGGCACATTTCTTATGTCTGTCACCTGTGGGTAAACCACAGTGTTAAGGGCCTCACAAACCTCCACTGCCACTGTTGGTCATCTCAGATCTGCATGACATGGTGGTCCCACCATGCTGTGCTAGCTGTCCTGTACCAGTCTATACATGAAAAATATGTAACAATTGCAGAATTCAACAGTCCGTCGAGTCTGCCATGAATGAACCCCGCACCAAGTCCTGCCACCTTTTGCATCTCAGACAATGCTCCTGAAATGCCATCCAGTGTCTCAACACTAGGTCTGGAGCATGTCTCTGCAGACTGGACTCTCGGGGAGGTGCCTGTGCTTGGCCAAGCTCACACGCACTCAAACTAGGACACAGGTACATGCTGCAGTGTATACATAGCCCGAGAGACTTAAATTAGGAACTATTAGGCTATGTCTAAACTATGGATCTTACAGCGGCACAGCTCATGAACGGTGGTAGCTATGTTGGCGGGAGAGAGTCTTCCGCTGACATAGCGCTGTCCACACTAGCACTTTTGTCGGAGAAACTTGTCGGTCAGGGGAGTGTTTTTTTCACACCCATGACTGACAAAAAATTTGCCAACAAAAGTGCTAGTGTAGACAAAGTCTTACTGTTTTAACGGATAGATGTTAAATTAAGATTAAATGTAAGTGCGACATTAATCAAAGTAAGATTATTTTAAATTCTACCTCGCCCATGCATCCCTTAGGTAGTGCCCATGAATAATAATACTTCCACATGAAACTACTATTGTTGAGTGCTTCCTAAGCAATTAGGAACAATAAATTGATTAGCTACAAATACACATATTACTCAGTAAAAACAGTATGCCAAATCTGCTCTCAGATACCCATGTGCATCTCCCTTTAGGATTGGATTCATGGAGATGCATGTGAGGGTCTGAGAACAGATTTGGCTCAGTGTTAATAAATGATAAAGAGAGGTTAACTATATAAGTAATCATATTGTATTATGGTTTGTAAAACAAATAATAGCAGGAAGAGCATTTGTGAATTAGGTACCAATCATTTGTTTTCATACCTTTGCTTTGTTCTTTGTTAATTAAATGTATTGCCATGTCTTGTACAAGTTTTGGGAAGCTGTTGTCCTTTTGAAAGCTGGATATAACCTCTAGCTCTGAATTATTGGGCTTAGCATCATTTGAGAAGTAATATCCCATAAAGTAGCTTGGTGCAGGCACTGAAAACTGTAAAAACACTGTCAAACTACAGGGTTCTGGTGTAAGCTATTGGGATGAAATTAAACAGCTGCAATCAGCAATGATATCTCAACAGTAGCAAATCTTTGTTCGCATAAATAAAAATAAATTTACTATAAGCAAAACCATACACAGCAAAGATTCTCGATTTTGGAATTCACCCAGCTCTCAGCACTTGGATGTAGAGCCCTGCCTTCCCAGAATCTCCTTTTTCCATCTTTCACAAACCCCTCTAACAGCCCCTCCCCTGAGCATCTATGAAAATTGAGAGGAAGGTGAAGATGGAGTTAGTCCCTTGTGTATTCGGTACTTGTTAGTGAACTTACACTCTGTCACATCTAGGTACAGTACACTTCAGTCCCAAAGACTGTGATTTCAAGCAGTTATGCAACTCCCTTGCCTACACTAGGATGTAAAGGCATGATTTTAGCATGTGGTAATAAAAATATTTTAAAAGTCTATTGTAGACAAGGCCCAGTGCTTCTGACACATGCTTCTCTGGTCAAGTTAAAGACTAGGGCACCACTAAGGCTCCTCCTTCGGATTTAACTCAACTAATTTAGCAAATGTTAAAAAGGCTGTGCCTGGTCTACATTGGACTTTTAAAATGTATTCATTAGTGCACATTAACAACAGGAGTTAACATCACACCTTTACATTCTGATCTATATAAAGCATATAGGACTGATTTCCACAGTGCAGCATGCATTTCAAGCAGATAGAATAACTATTATGGCTGAAACTCTATATACTTGCCTGAGTGTGTGGTAACAATCGAAGTAGTATAGTGCAGCAGGGAATGGCTGGATATGGATTTAATGCAGATGGTGTAAAAGCTGCTGGTTCCTTCGTTGGCATCCCTCCTCTCAGTCTTAATTGAAATCCTCCTACGTTTAGCTTCCCATCATCATTAAACACACGTATCACAGAGTTTCCTATAAACATAAAGCAGAGGAAAAACTACAGAGAACTAGGGATCACTAAAGATTTTACAGTGCATTTGTTTGTTCCGAGTGTGTGATTTTCTCTTAAATGTTTCCAATATTTCCCTTAACAACTGAATGGATGAAGACTAGGTTCATGGAGAAACTACACAAGTACCGCATTTAGAAATACCCTGATCCAAAAGTGGGGTTGACTTTTCATAGAATGTTGTAAAAGATGGCTCCGACAAGGCAAGGTCTCAGGATCTCTATCACTTCTTTCATGTATAAAAGCTACTGTGACTCCTTTACCCCCTACTTATCTCCTATGCCTCCATGTCATATGCTATCTTCCCCTACTTACAGAGGCAGTAACTGCAGGAACTCTCCTGCATTTTTAATATTATAAATGTTTAGAAAATACCTAGATTTGTTTTGTTGTTATTTGTGTTCCTTTAATTGTTAGGTCTGAATACATTTTCTTCTTTCACTAAAACATGTAAATAATTAGGGCAAAAACAATTAACGTAGTTTATGCATTGTAATGCACAAATTCTGTAGACAGGATTTTATATGGCCAGATGCTGTGAGTAGTACTATACTCAAGAAGATCCTTATCAAATTGCTGTTTAATTTAAAACAAAAAAAAGATCTGTCTTCCCCGTCCCCAAAATGATCTACAAAATATATATTGTTTTATATCATCTTTTGGCCAATGCGGTAGAGAAAATAAAAAATATGTCACTATCTTCTCAGATAGTCTCTGTCTCATTTTTCACAGTTATGGCATTCAGATGGAGGATCCTGTCTATATGTACAAGTGGAGAATGTAAGAATATAATTCTAAAGCACAAATGTAATTAAAAGAGAGTTAAGGCTGAAACTCTAGACTCTAGATGGGGTCTAACTAACATGCAAAACCAATGGTAGACTTTCTTTACAAAACTTCCATATATTTAAATTAAAAAGTTAGAATGCCTGGAAGTGAACAGTTAATGTTGATGTTCACACATATTCTTCCAAATAAACAGTAACTGAAAGGTTATATTATAGTTGGGAACTAACCGTATCCACATGAATCTATTCTATTCTATCAGGCTTGCAATGTGAAACTAACTTAAATCTTATGCAACTATTACTTCTCCAAAATGAATGTTAGGAATAAGAAAAGCCTAACTAACCAAACTTGCCTGATCATTTCTGGTTATTACTCCTTTTCTTCCATTTTCAGCATATCCCTCAATTCTCTCCCTTTTCAGAAGCAAATCTAGATGTCTCTAACTAATATTTTTTATCACAGTTGCCATCTCTTTCCTGATAAGTTACTCTGTATATAATTTACTTCTTGTGAGGAACAGTTCTGCCTGACTTCTCAGTTTAGAACAGAACAAACTCTGATTTTCTGAAACACTTTTCATATCCAAGTTATCCCAAAATGCTCTACAGAATAATGAGTTAGATCATGGCAATATAAAGGAGTGTGTAAAGCCAACCTGGCAGCCATTATGTGTTCCGAATAACTGACATACAGTCATGAACATTAGAATCAGCTTTAATGAGAGATATAATTGTTGATCAAGATACCAGGGTTATTTCCTATGCTTGAAAATTAAAAATTCATGAGATCTTTAACTTCCATCTGAACAGCCACCATAAACAGGCACTAAGAAGATTAGTTTAATAGCCAGTTAAACTTCTACTTTCAACATCTTTAGATCGCTACTTAGCTTTTAAAAATCTCAAAATGTCCATCAGCTCTGGTGATCCCTATCCTAACTTTCCGTATTTCTAACAAGTCACTTCAAGTACTCCTTTTTTTATTGATTAAAATGAGCCCAATTCCCTTTACCTTTCCACCTAATTGCAAGACTTGGTATCATATTTCTTACACTTTGCCGCATCCTTTCCAAATTAACAACACTGGTTCTGTGCCTCGTCTTACACAGGTTTTCCAGATGGAAATATAAGAAATGCCTAAAGCAGCAGCAGCAGTGTCTTTTGTTTTGTATTCTGTCCATTGCTAATACAGAGCCAAATACTGATATCTCTTTCCTAAGTCCCCTCAAGTCAATGGAACTACTTGTGTGATTAAGGTGAGCTGGATTTATCCAATGACCTAGCATCTTTTTTGCTTTTTTTTTTTTACTGCTGTTGTGCACTGCTCTGATAGTTTTGATTATTTTTCTCACAACACATTCCAAATCCTTCTCCTGATCAGTAAACTGGAAGGCTATTCCCTTGAACATAATTCCCTGGTCTAGCTCCTTGGTTATTTGTCTAAATTAAACTATAGTTGCCATATGCTGGCCCAATCGCATAAATGATCCATTCTTTTGAATCCAGTTGCAAAGTATAGACTAGAAGTATTTCTATAAACAGTGGTTTAATTGCATTTCAGTATAAAATATTTGTCTGTACTAATTTTCTATGCTTTATAAAAAGTTTGTGTTACTTTATTCTCAGGCTTCTGCTAGTAGTGATCCTCACAGTCCCTAGGAGGTACATTTCAACAGTTTGCATGTGCTATAAAATAAAGTTCTGTGCTCTATATTTGAGAAGACACAAACATCAGAAGGTATGGTGAGGAGCAAAGAGAAATGACAGAGGAAAGAAAGAGGGCTAGGTAATGCTTAATATACCTATTATAACAAGGTCTCCAGAATCTACATCCACTGTATAAACTTGAAGAAGAACACATGTCTTGATATTCATTACTTTTGGATCATCTCCATTTAAGACCATTCGGTACTGGAATTCTGGATTTCGAGATGAACTATTAGGAAGCGGAAATGCCATAATATCAGGCAAGCTATTCAGCCCTGAATTCTTGATTTGCCCTGTTACCTAGGAGGAAAAAGTTAATTTTCAATGTGCTTTATTAATTATTATTACTTAATTTTGTTTTATGTACTTTTGGACATAGACAATTAATTTGGAAATGTTGTAGCATACTAAAATAATACCTAAAGAAACTTCTAAACAACCTTTTTGGAAACCTACATTGTAGGTCTTTGGCCCTAATTTTTAAATCACAAAGCCAAATTCTTCCTTATTAGGGCTGTCAAGCGATTAAAAAAATTAATTGCATTGCTAAACAATAATAGAATACCATTTATTTAAATATTTGTGGATGTATTCTACATTTTCAAATATATTGACTTCAATTACAACACAGAATACAAAGTGTACAGTGCTCAGTTTATATTTATTTTTATTACAAATATTTGCACTGTAAAAAACAAAAGAAATACTATTTTTCAATTCCCTTATTGCAAGTAGTGCAAACTGTAGTGCAATCTCTTTATCATGAAAGTTGAATTTACAAATGTAGAATTATGTAAAAAAAAACCTGCATTCAAAAATAAAACAATGTAAAACTTTGGAGCCTATAAGTTCACTCACTCCTACTTCAAACAATCCGTCAGGCAAATTTGGTTACAATTTGCAGGAGATAATGCTGCCTGCTTCTTGTTTGCAATATCACCTGAAAGTGAGACTAGAGGTTCACATGGCACTGTTATAGCCAACGTCACACGATATTTACGTGCCAAATGCCCTAAAGATTCATATATCCCTTCATACTTCAACCACCATTCCAGAGGACATGCATCCATGCTGATGACGGGTTCTGCTCGATAACAAGCCAAAGCAGTGCAGACCGACGCATGTTCATTTTCATCATCTGAGTCAGATGCCACCAGCAGAAGGTTGATTTTCTTTTTTGGTGGTTCGGGTTCTGCAGTTTCCGCCTAAGAGTGTTGCTCTTCTAAGACTTCTGAAAGCATGCTCCACACCTCGTCCCTCTCAGATTTTGGAAGGCACTTCAGATTCTTAAATCTTGGGTCGAGTGCAGTAGCTATCTTTAGAAATCTCACACTGGTACCTTCTTTGCATTTTGTCAAATCTGCAGTGAAAGTGTTCTTAAAACGAACAACATGTGCTGGATCATCATTTGAGAGACTGCTATAACATGAAATATAAGGCTGAATGCTGGTAAAACAGCAAGAAACATGCAATTCTCCCCCAAAGAGTTCAGTCACAAATTTAATTAACGCATTATTTTTTAACGAGCATCATCAGCATGGAAGCATGTCCTCTGGAATGGTAGCTGAAGCATGAAGAAGCACATGAATCTTTAGCGTATTTGGCACGTAAATATCTTGCAACACCATCTAAAACAGTGCCATGCAAACACCTGTTCTCACTTTCAGGCGACATTGAAATTAAGAAGAGAGTAGCATTATGTCCCGTAAATGTAAACAAACTTGTTTCTCTTAGCGATTGCCTGAAGAAGAAGTAGGACTGAGTGGACTTGTAGGCTCTAAAGTTGTAATTGTTTTGTTTTTGAGTGCAGTTATGTAACAACAACAAAATCTACATTTGTAAGTTGCACTTTCATGATAAAGAGATCACACTACAGTACCTGTATGAGGTGAACTGAAAAATACTATTTCTTTTATTTATCATGTTTATAGTGCAAATATTTTTAATAAAAATAATATAAAGTGAGCAGTGTACACTTTGTATTTTGCGTTGTAATTGAAAGCGATATATTTGAAAATGTAGAAAAACATCAAAAAATATTTAATAAATTTCAATTGGTATTCTATTGTTTAACAGTGCGATTAAAACTACGATTAATCACGATTAATTTTTTTTAGTTAATCACGAGTTAACTGTGATTAATCAACAGCCCTATTCCTTATATAAGTTTGCAACTTCCATTTATTTGAACAGGCATTTTGCATGCAAATCTGAGGGCAGATTTTGACTTTGAAACCTTTATTTCAGAAAAACGCTATTCACTGCAATTCTCCGGAGTAATTAACATAATACTGTAAAATACATGAGCCCGAGGAGTGTGACATGTTGAAGGTATGCTCAAGACCTAAAAAGGGCAGAGAATAAAGTAAAAGGGACTGATCTGATGTAAGTGAGCAAGTCACATCATTTCAAGAGCCCAGAACTTAATAAAGTTTACAACAAGAGAAGTTCAAGGATTATGCAAGCATTACTACAAAACAGACAACCCAACCTCTCTCTGGCCTTGGCATTTTTCTCTAGGATATGTGCTTGAAAGATTTCTTCACTGTATTATGCACAAAGTCTTCCCATCAACATCAGCCATGTGTTTCTTTGTGTTTTGCTTACTTTTTAAAATAGCTCAGACATATTTATTAAGGCCATGCTTTCGTATTTGTGTCAGAACACAAATAGGGCTGAATGGGGTCAATTTTTATTCAGTCCTGAAAATGCCTTGGATCCAAACAGAATACTTTCTGCCTGGGGGAAAACTATGTGATGACTGATTTGGCAGCCCTAATAAGCCTGGTACAGTAAGTCTTTGAGATCTGGAATCAAATTCTTTTTAACCTCACCAGTAATAAAAAAAATAAATTTTAGAGGACTTATGAATCACCTCTGCCTAGATTTCCTAGTTAGATCCCATCAGATCCCATAGTGTCCATCTAACTAGTCTGGTGACTGCTTGAAGGGAGTTTACAACAACTCAGACAAGGCATTAACTGAAACCTAATCCAAACACTTGTTGTATAACTAAAAGGTAATGAATAGAGATAATTTATTGAGCCAAGATCTTATTTAAGTTTTTAACTAATTAACATAACTACCTCAACTGTAAGGCAAGATATTGTTCTTTCTGGGGACAGTATGTACTACACAGATTATTGGATTTTTCACCAATTTTATTACAGATTTCCAAATTTGGGGCCCAATCCTGTGAAACTGTTCTCACATGCGTCTGACGAAGTGGGTATTCACCCATGAAAGCTTATGCTGGTCCAATACATCTGTTAGTCTTAAAGGTGCCATAGGACTCTCTGTTGCTTTTTACAGATCCAGACTAACACGGCTACCCCTCTGATACTTGTTCTCACATGAACAGTCCTTACTTCAGGAGTGCTGCTAGTGAAGTCAATGTAACAAAGCATGAGGAACAACAGCCAGTAGCAGCAGCAATGGGACAAGGAGAGGCCCAGACAGGGTCCTTTGACTCTGCTGTGCAGAGGCCCTATGTTCTATGTAATCCAATTTAAGAAAAGTTAGACTCACCCCATTATATAAATTGTTTATAAAAATAAGGAAAGTTGGAGACAGAAATATTGGTACAAACTGGATTGTTTAAGTTACAAGTACTATGATAAGAAGTCTTTAAGACTCCTGGTAAAGTCAGTGGTTCACATAAAAAGCTGAAAGATTCTAGGGAATGGTAGGAAATGTTTATAGTTTAAATCACCAAAAAGTGTTTCCATTGGTCAATTGTAATGGGATGAGGTTGCCATCTCTTGTTGTATATTGTTTATTCAGGGGTCACTGGAAGAGACAGTGGGAAAGCCAAAAAGGTGGACTGGAAGAAGCAAACTTCATCATCATAGCTGCCGCTGCCCCTATTGTCTCCCGGGGCCTTATTAAATATCATGAATATCTATACATCAATTAAAACGTGAAACCACAGTAGTACCAAAGCTTACCTTTGTTATTGTTGCATTATCAGGGATATAATGGAGTGCATCTATATATAGATCCAATGGACAGTTTAATGATGTAGGACTTGGTAATATGGTAGAGGAATTATATGGAATCCAAGGTACATACAGAAAGTCAGACTCTTGAAGCCTGACAAATATGAACAAACAGAGGACTTTATACTAGACCATTATTAACAATAAAATGTTATATTTTCTTAAGGTAAATCAGCAACTAAAAGGTATTATATTTCTATTACTTTTTTGTTAGGTAGTTACAAACATCTGTACAATCAAGAATTTAAAGAATACCTAAAATATTATTAGTAAACAGTTCATGATATCAGCTTCAAAGACTGTCAACAACTGTAAATTAAAGACATATGGGGATATTTTCAAAAGTTTCCCAGGTACTTAGGAGCACAATTCCCATTGACTTCCACTTTTGAAAATTTTCCCCATTAGAGAAGAGCATTTCCAAGTCTGTAAAATGCACATTTGTGGATGAAGAACTTTTCCCACACATTACACTGTAATGTTCTTCACCAACTTATAAGAACATTTGGATTTTTTAAAAAATGTGCGTTTATCAGAAATAGGTTCTAGTTGGCTGAGTATAAGGTTAGAAGTCAAATGGAATCTAGCATATCTTTAAAGTTAAATGTGTGCTTAAATTCTATGCTGAATTGGTGACTGGTTAACTTTAAATTTTCTTAAATGTAAATGGGACTTGAAGGTGTTCAACACCTTGCAGGATCAAGCTCTTCAGGGGTTGATTTCACATAAACGCACACAGTTTAATCAAGTAATGAGCATTAGGAAAGCTCCAAAGTGTTTTCTGTCATGATCCATTTTGGTCCTGATGTAAAGCTCACAGAATTCAGGATAGTCTTTCCATTAATGTCAATAGGATTTATATCAACAGTCTTGGGTCTCACTTCTGGTTTATGTCTTATGCTCCTAAAAGCCTATGATTCAGGGTTTCAGCTGGCTACAGGGGCCAGGAAGGGATTCCCCCCAAATGTATTCTGGGTTGTTTTTTCCTGTCTTCTTCCTCTGAAGCATCAGAGGTGGCCATGGCTGGAGATAGGACTTTAGACTGGGCGGGCCAGGGCTCTGAGGTGGTACTAAGCATTCTCTCTCTCAGGTGCTTGGCTGACTGGTTGTTGCTCACATGCTCAGGGTCTGACTGCCATATGAAAGGTCAGAAAGGAATTTTCCCCCAGCTCAGATTGGCACAGACTAAGGGTTTTTCCCCTCTGCAGTGTGGGGGGTGGGGGTCACTTGCTAGCATTATCTGAGTATATCTCAATCAATCATTTCCCTGCCTTTGCAAGGCCCTCAAGCATTGGTCTTCTCACTCCCTCCACTCTTTGAACTGTGGCACATAATAGTTTATTCTGCTGTGGGCTCTAATACTTTGGTTTAATTTCGGTTGTTGATTTAACATGTGGTGTTGTTGTCCTGTGGTATACAGGAGGTCAGACTAGATGACGGTTAGTTTCTTCTGGCCTTAAACTCTATGACTCTGAGATCTGGCATTTAAACTAGGCAAAAAATCCCCTCCCCTCCCCCCCGTTTTTAACATAACACATAAAACCATCTTCAGGAACTTCTTGATACATTCAGAACCCTCTGCTCCCTTCCCCCCAAAATACTGAAAACTGGGGAGGCAGCTCCAATACTGTTTCGTGTTAACTGAATTATGATAACAGACTGTCAAGACACTGATTCAGATTCTTGGGTGGCTTTCTTCACTATTTTATTGAAATGGTGTATTTCTTAGTGTATTATATTATTTTTATGTTACTAATTTTATAATTTACAGAACCTTTCTCCAATATATTTTTTTCTTGTAACTATCTAAAAAGCACATATACAACACAGCCAACTCTCTGGTGACTAATTTTTTTTCTCAGTTATCTCTTTCATTTGGCCAGTTTATTTGCAGATTTATGATCCACTGACTTTCACAGTTTGAAAATTAATACTAAATCAATACTTTGTATACATTTATTATGGTTTTACTGTAAATTCTATTGCAATACATTGTTTGGCGGAGGTTGTGCAAAACTGTATTGTATATAAATGAAAACATTAACCAAGCTGAAGGCATAAAATCAGTTAAACACCCTAATACTGCAGCTTTAGAGTGAGAAAGTGTGTAGCATTTTTATGTAGCATATGGGAAAACTGCAGCATGGGAGTGTGAACATTAATTCTGCAGCTGTACTAAATCTCCTGTGTCAGCCTCTGTCTACAAGCAAACCAGATTTACAGAAGTAAATTTTTACTGCAGCACTGAATGCTGAAAATGGATAACTTGGTAAAGTTTAAAAGAGAGAGACTTATTTTAAAAGGAATAGACAAGGATTAGATGTATCTGTAGAATAATCATAGGCAAATAATTCTATATGTAGAAAATTATTTGAACTATTTAATGTTCTTCCCAAATTTTTAACTTTAAGCAATTGTTGCAATCATATTTCAGCACAATGTCAATTATGCAACAGTAATTATATCAGGATCCAAACATAAAAATATTTCTGTTGAACATAATTTCAGTGTTTACCTTTTTCTTCTCTTTTGGCTGTTTCTCTGTCTATGTCTTTCCTTGGATGTATCATAAACAGTTAACTGGATACTTGAATGACCCCGGGCCAAGTCTGTAGATATAATTGATTTGTCTATTGTTGTTATATTTTCCAGTACATTTAAAAAATAGCACACTTGTATACCCACACAGGAAGAAATATACTCAGAAGGTCAAATGCTGTTAAACTGTTATATCACTTAGGCAAATGTAATATAATAGCACATTGAAAAATCAATTAAGAAAATTAAACAACCCCCCCCCCACTCTACAGTGTTGAACTGGCTCCCCTTGTGCTGGCCCCCTGGAAGTCTGCACAAAAATCACTCTGCAGGTCCTCTGTGTCAAGAACCACAAAGAGGCGTTATTAGGTATGACCTGGGGTCCGTGGTCTGGACAACAAGTATATTATCATCTAGACCCTGACCTGGCAATGGCCTTTATGTCAGCTCCAGTGCAGACTATCCCTGATCTTAGTTCAGGCTGTATGATTGGGGCTAGCCTTGGCCAAAACACAGAAAATGTAAATGCTGCTTTGGCACCGTATATATATCTGGCTGTTTTGGAGATCCATTATAGTTGTTTCAATACACCAGCCAGAATATGACCCATTGATTTTTAAATTCAATACAAAATAAAAATTTAATAATTATTTTGGTGCTTTGCCTATATCTTTCCCCTTTTCTTGTTCTGTTGCTCTTTCCTTTTTTCTATTGGTTTATCCTTTTAGTCTACATTTCTTGTGGCTATTCTGTTCCCTGACATCTATTGTACAACTTTCTGGTTCCAGAATTTTCTGTTGTTCTGCCTGTCCCCAAATCCCAGTGTTATCTGTTGTCGGTCCTCAACCTAGTTGCCACACTTGACACCTCCATTTGCTCTGTCTTCACCTCCAGCAACCCACCATCAAAGCTGCAACTGAAATTAATTTTTAATTTAATATTTTACAAGCTGTGGTATGGTTTACTCAGCACAGAGGCCAAAGGCAGGAATTACAAAACAGTAGTTGTTACTTATATCTTATACAGTGTCCAGAAGTGCCCGTTTTTAATCTAGGCTTTGCTACTTCCTTGATGTACAGTCTTGACTGAGCCTCTTAGGCCAAAATTAAAAAATCTGAGTGCTTATATCCATATTTATACACCGTAAAAGACCTGATTTTCCAGAGGCGTTCAGGTGTCCCAAATTAAGTTAACAGGTGATACGAGGCACTTGGCACCCCTCAAAGGTAGACCTCTTATTTAGCTACCTGTATGTGGGTTTAGTTCAGGCAACCAAGACTTACAATTTTAACTTTAACATCTATGTCTCATATGCCACATCTGTAAAATGAGAATATTAATATTGTTATGCTGGAGGCATAAAGCTGAGAAAGTAGCAAGCAGAACAAGGAGACAGAAAGAGAGGCACTTGTACTGTGGTCCTGAGGAAAAGCCAAGAGAGAGAGCTTTTGGGGCAGACACTGGTGGAAAGGCAGGCTTGAAACTGTGAGCAAGGAAACTGTCCCCTCTTGTTTGATACTACTGCAAATGACCTTTTGAGACATGTACAGAGAAAAAGGACTTTGTATAATTCTTTGTAAATAAACAGGATCAAATATCTTATGAGAGGTAACAACATTTACTTACCTATCTCATACAGGGTTGTGCAAATTAAATAGTTAATATATATTTAGTGCTTTGAAGAATGTAAGTTCTATTATTAATACTATTAAAAGATTTACAGCTGTGCATAGACTGTATTTTATGTTGGAGCTGCTCTGCCTTTCAAATTCCAATATTACAAAAAATTAAACTAGGAGGTTCTAAGGGTCCAACCCTTTGATGTACCAAGAACCCTGAACTTCCACTCAAATCAACAATAGTAAAGGATGCTTAGCACCATACACAATTCAAGCCCCTAAAAAGGAACATTATTTGAAGGTTACATTGGCTATTGAGTCAAAAACCTGGATATGAAAAAGCATTGTACTCATACTTTAAAAAGCAACAGAGGGTCCTGTGGCACCTTTAAGACTAACAGATGTATTGGGAGCATAAGCTGTCGTGGGTAAGAACCTCACTTCTTCAGATGCAAGTAATGGAAAAAGAATTCTTTAAAAAAGAATTTATTTGACTGAGAAAACATTTGCCACTCTTCCTGTTTTGCTACAGAATGTGGTCAAGGTCAGTGTAGACTTTAACTTAAATTCATGGTTATAGCAAAATAAAAATTCCACATGTTGCCTCAAAAAAACCCCCAGAGTCTGACTCTCTGTCCACTGCCTAGCATCTGTGTAATCATTTACATCTGTGCAAAGTGAGTGAAGGATAACTAGTGAGTATAAAATGCTTCCAAGTCAGAAATGTCCACTTAGACTGGTGGTAGCATTTTATACTTACTTTGCATAGGTGTGAATGGCTACACAAGTTGCAAGACAGTTAAGTATCAGACCCACCATCTTCTCAGTGTTCCATTACTTAATAATCACTACAAAAAATAACTAAAGGAACTCTTATTGAGAAGTTGACAAGATTTTAGACTGCTGCTAACATTTGATACATTATTCAAGAGTGTATTTTTCTCTTCTATAGAACTGTGACCACTTTAATTTTTCAAATTACCTTTTGAGACATGCTTCAAAGTATAATCCATAATGTTATAAGGAAGTTTTCCAGGATGCAGTGGAACAAGTGTAGAAAACTCTTTAGGTTTCCAGATAGCTCTAATATTTGTAGTTTCTTGCTGAAATACATCCACCATTTGCCATCCGAGAGTCAGTGAGTCTACAAAACATACACACACACAAACACACAATGGCTTATTACTCATAACTATTCAAATCATGTACAGTGCACTGGTCAGGTATATTAAAATCGCTTCTAAGTTTCATCTTTATAGCATCTTTTTAAGAAGTGTTACATATAGAAGCCAAGATGGATTCTAATATACTACTCAGTGTAAGGGTTTTACTTCACAAGTAGTCCTATTGACTTCAGTTGGCCTACATGTGGAGTAATAGATTAATTGATGTGAGTAAGGGTGGCAGACTCTGGCCCTACATTAACAGACACCTCGATATTAAGATAATAGGCACCTTCGATAGATGACTCCAAGTAACAAGCTGAAATGAATTCAGTGGCCTTATCCTAGTTTCCATTTATTTGTACACATAGCAAAACCACTACACAATTTGGTATAATTCAGTATGGAGAAATATGTTGAATAACTGTCTACACGTGCATGTCTTGCAAAATACTATTAGTGTTCAATCCTGCAAGATTCTGAGCCCTTCCGGCAAGCTGCTGAAGACCCTAACTCTCACTGAAGTCATTGGGAATGGAGGATGATCAGAAACATGGCAACTGGTGCTCTGCACCTTGCAGAATGGAGCCCTAATCCTTCACTTTCCACAATAAATTTCTTATAAGATCCTTGGGGAACTTTCTAACCTATCTGTAGCAGCAGTATAATACTTACCTTAAAAATGTTAGAAAACACAGACTTGCTGCTGTTCCCATTAGAGTCGGTGGAAGTTTTGCCACTGACTTCAATGGGAGCAGGAGTCAGCATATTATAGATACAAGTTATACATTTTAGTAGAGTTCTGGAATGCACCACCAGGATCCCAGGAACAATACAAAACTTTTGATATCGCCCCTCCATCTAGGGCTTCTCCATTTATAAAACTGAAAAGTAGAGAGTTAAACGTGGAAAATAAGTAAAGGACTTTCCTTAACTAAGCCAATATGTTTTTACACAACTTAGGCCAAAATAGCCTTGATCTTGTAAACTTACACGAGTAAAGTTTTACATAAATAAACCCATTGCCTCCAATAGGACCACTCACTTGAGAAAAATTACTCAAGATACATTAGTCATTCGTGTTTGCAGGAATAACATTAGAAAATGGGCCGCACTGCTGAATATGCAGTAAATTCCATGGGGAACTTGTTGCTCAATACATTTTACATGCATCACTTATTATTTCTGTCTTTAATATACAGTTTTGATAAAATATGAAGGAAAAATTACATACCTTTGCCTTTAGACTTGTAAACTACTTGTAATACAATATAGGGTTTAGCTTCTGCCATATTTATAAACTCAGATGGATCCAGAGAATCAAAGGCAAATGTTTCTTAACATAAACAAAGTTAAACATTATTAAACAAATCTGTTATTTCACTGATCATTATACTAAAGTAGTCAAGAAAATTCAAGCCTGAGCTTCCCATTCTTATGTTTTTAAAATCTAAAGATTTTAGAATTGGGACATTAGAGCCAGATCCTGCAAGATCCTGTACACACTCAATTCTCACTGACATCAATGGCAGTTGAGGACCTCAGCAACTCATATAATCAGGCCCCAGGTACCCATCTATAATTCAGTGCCATTTTAAGACGGAAATGGAATAATAGCTACAAGAGACATTACATTTTTAATAAAGGATTCTCCCTTTTCTTGGTATAACTTGTGCAACTGGACTATTTTTTTGGCCACCAGGCTCACAGAGGAATGTTGCTGGTTACATTATCTAAGCTTTATGACAACTGTAATGAAAAGATACTCAGTAACCTTTCACTCCAGCAACCAAAGGGCAAGTTGACTCTGTCTTTCCACTGAAGCATATACCAACAGCTGGGGGGAGATTATAGCTTTAACTAGATGATTACATGAAAAGAAACCTTCATCTAGAGGATTTTTTTAAGACTATAAAGGCTCTTAGAATCACAAAGTTCAATAATTTTGTCTCTTATCTAAGCTGACAAAATTCTCATATCAAATATCATTTTCCTTTACATGAAAAACTTGGTCCTGTAACTAGTAGAGGTTTTGTTCTTTTGGACAGGAACTCTCCTTTCCTCAGTGCCTCCACACATGCTCATTAATTCCCTTTTAAAAAGGACATTTTAATTTAGTTGCCATTTATGAGACAGCCATTTAGCAAGAATTGGTAGGGGAACATTACCTCCTTTGAAAGGGGATGGATGGAACCTGGACACAGGCTAGGCTGGACAGAATCTTTACAGAATCAAAACGACCAGAAACTACAGAATCCAAGGCCACTGAGCATCTGGTGCCTAGGCTGTGAAGAGGAGTAGATTTGGGGGAAGTGTATTTCTTTCTCCAATATGAGCCCATCACGTAGAGAAGACCCAGGTTTGTGCACAAAGTGGATTGACAGGGTTAGGAGCAAACACTCTCTCTCTTCCAGCAGTACACTCTGGCAGAACAGGAAGAGGTTGGGCCACTACCACAGATCTGATTTCAGCGATGGTGCTGAGGCACTTCTCCCCCCTGCAGATGGCAACAGCACATTGCAGGCAGCACTGAAGCTAGAGGAAAGATAAGAGAATGTAGGTGGACCAACAGGGCCCACTCACTTGGCACTCCCATATTTATCTAAGGTACTTATATGGCTCCCATTATCCTAGTACCGAAGAGCTTCACATTCTTTATTTTATTATTAAAAACATTATTTTACAGATGGGGAAATGAAGGACAGAGAGGCTAAGTGATTTGACCAAAATAACATAGGATTGCTGTTGTAGAGCAGGAATGGAACGTGGGTTTCCCCATGGCTCAAGCCAGTACTCTAACCACTGGACCATCCTTCCTTCCAGGGGCAAAACCTGAGGCTGAGGAGGCTAATAGAAAGGGAAGAATTTTGACTAAAGGAAGGGAGAAGACACAGCAAAGTACCACATAGGAAAGAAAAAAAATATTAACAGGAAAAATTGATAGGGGACTTACAGGAGGGAAAATACAAAACCGAAAAGATAAAAAATTAGAACAGAAGGAAATGCCTTGAAGATAGAGGAGGGGTGAAAGGATAAAAGCCTTAAAGAGCAAATATTAGCAAGAAAAATCAGGAGAGAAGAGAAGAAAAATCAGTAAGGAGGAAAGGAAATGATGAAGAAAAGAAATGAGAGATAGTCAGCCAAATAGATCTCTGGCATAACTCCACTAGCTTCAAAAAATTTTTTTCTTTAATTTACAGAAAGCATACAGCCAAATTATAATGCCCAATAATGTACAAATAAAAATATTTGTCTATGGATATAAGGAAACAGGTGATATGCCCACCATATATGAAGAAGAGGCCTTCAAAGCCCGTTAGTGGATGGGAGGCGAACATGGCAGCTCAGGAGTGGGGATGATACACAGTGGGAGAGAAAATAACCTGTTTTGCTTAGAATAAAATGTTGAGGCTGCAGTTTTAATGTTTCTATTTGTCTTTTGAATATGCTTGATGGGAAACAAATGGATGTGTTTGAGATTCCATAGTGCTGGTGGAGCTAAGGCACACTTTGACTTAATCCACTCTGACCCTAGTATAAGGCAGGTGAGTGGCAACTCTGGTTGAGAAGAAGAGTCTGTCTGACCAGGGGGCAGCTGGGCTCCTGGCAGGGAGCAGGGAACCGGAGGGCAGCCGGGCTCCTGGCAGGCAGCTGTGCAAGGAGCTAAGTGCCCGGGCTCTCAGCCCTTCACACTGCCCCTCCTCTTAAGTCAGTTGAAGTGCTCCTGGTGAGAATGCGCATCACTGACAGAAGGAGAGAAGTGTGGACACGAACCGCTGCAGTAATTACTGCAGTGGCTGTAAGCTGACCGTCACCTAACATAGGTTGATTGAAGTTTGTAGTGTAGACATGCTCAGAGATAATACAAAGGGTTTTGGAGGACCCCAAGTTAACCCTCATCCACCACTGAATGAGACACTTCAAACAAGACTTCTTAAGTTTATGTTGAAAACGCTGAAGGGAAGTAAGGACCAAAATGATAACATCATACAAAGGGAACCTATGATGGCTCACCGTGAATCAATTGAAAGCTTATCTTTTAAAAAAAAAAAATCTACTAAATATATTTGAACTTAAAATATTTATGCTAGGATCAAAAAGAGTTGCAAAATATTAAAAATCCTTTTTTTTTTAAAGTGCAACAACAAAATAGAATGCATACCAACAGATAATAGACTAAAAGATTCATACCATTGAACTGAACAGTAAATTCAGTGGTTTCACTTTTATTTGCTGTTTTCCCTTTGGTTTTCTGTACAAGAGAGGGTTTAAAAGAGCTAGTCTTGGAACACAGTTTTTCAAGGCCATAAAATACTGAAACCGTTAACTCCACAGCAAGAGGGTCAAACTCTTTCAACCAAGTTTCCTTCAAAAAAAAAAAAAGAAAGTAAGAAATAATAAATGAATGAAACAAACAAAAAAATTACTTTGCATCACTGTCACTGTGAGAAACCACTGCAGGGCCCAAAACTCCATTCTGGGATGTACCTACAGGTTGAACCTCCCTAGTCCGGCACTCTCTGGACCGGCAAAATCTGTGGTCTGGCATGATCTTAGTTAGTGTCAATGTCGATATAGTAAAGGTAGAATTGTTGCAGAAATTGGAAAAGGGCACATCGGTGCGTGCCTTGTGTGAATTTTACAATATAGGGTCATCTACAGTGTATGATTTGAAGAAGCAAAAGTATCAAATCCTTAATTTTTTTGCCAAAAGTGACAGTAAGTCTACTTACAGTTAAACTTCTGCAGTCCTCCTTCAGTCTGATAATTCAAATCAGTAAATATATAAACTTAGATTACTAGCCGGTATGAACTTGCACATTTTTATTGACTTTGAAAGAGAATTAACAGCCAGAGGATCTGGCCATAAATATTTGTTATGTGGTTTGGCATTTCAGATCCATGGAAATCAAAGAAGATGTGATCTTAAAATGCAAACAAGGAATAATACCCACTCTATGGGGTTATGCAATGATTGCTTAATTCAGTACTATATTTACTCAATTTACCCATTTTTCTAATTTATTCTTTTTTGTGCTTGTAAACTGTTGTGCTCATAATCCTGTTAAAATTTATTATATGCTGGACAAATTCCTCCAGTTGTGGGAAAGGCTTCGTAATAAAGTAACAGACATCTGCTAAACCAAACTCTTTTCCAAAAGAAATGAAAGACTCCAAACTGCTAGAAAAACAGAATTTAGTACATTGTCACCAGACTAAAAATAATAAGTAAATATTGACTTTTGTTACGGTGAAAAACAAACTTTATTGACCAGAGAGGTAAATATTGACTTGGAGTGAAGCAAATATACAATGTACTGAAGTTAATGGATCAAATCCTTTTCAGTTTGGCAAAAGAAGATTTGGCCCAATATATGTTTTATTACTTATTTTCTGAGAGTCTTCATCAGAACATCTGGAAAATCTCTCCATAATGGTAATGCATTTCAACGAGGTAACAGTTTTTCCTTAGAAGCTAAAAGACAGATGCACTCAAGAGGATCAGAAAAAAATAATTATACTCCTGCGAGGTGAAATAATAGCTTCCAATTAATTTTCTTCAGCCAGTCACAGTGTATTTATTTGCATAAGTGGTCTGACTGGATAACTGGAAAAGACTTCAATTTTATTAACTTCTGAAGAGGTAAACAATAGAAACTTACTGAGTCTTCACATGACAATTTTCAATCAATCACAATCTAAGGTTTTTCTTATGTATGTAACATTAATTAATGACAGAGTTCTCTTTATCTGTTGATATGTTTAGGTCTCTGTTCAGTCAAAAAACATTCTTTATGATAAATAGTCTCAATAAAAAGAGCACTAAACCTTTTTCTTTTGTAAAGTAAAGATTATCACAATCCCTGTCAGAACATACAAGGTATAATTAAATTACCACTTACAGTGTGTGATATCTCAACCTGTGGTACTGGTAAAACTAGCTTCAGTAAAACATCCTTCACTTCAACTGGCAAGCTGTCCTGGAAGCCAAGAGAAACCTTTCCAGCTATCAAAACAAATTACACCAAAGGTAATTAGCCAATGTAATGTTTAAATAGTTTGATCCTTGATTATAAACTAGGTTAGTCAGAGCCTTTGGTGGCTTCTGAGCCCAAACAGAAGTATATTACACTTTTACCTATTAAATTAAAGAACAAAAATTGCTTTCTTCTTGCTGTAAAGAAAATCACAAAGGTTGAATTACAAAGAATCAAATATAGTAGACCAAATATAATTAATTAAGTAACATTTCTAAGTCTCAGATACTGAAAGATACAATATCATTTTACAACCACAGAATGGGTTCTTTGGGTAATGTCTATTTTACACAGAAGAATTTATATGAATTCCATAAACAGGGCAGTCCAATCTTTTCATACAGAAGTTTTGGTCAGGATTAAGGTCTGATCCAAGCTCCGTTAACATCAGTGGAACACTTTCCATTAACTCTAATAGCTATTGGATTAGGCTGAGAACCCTGTGTGTTTATCAAAAGATAGAATTTGGCTCTGTCTATGAGTTCTTTCCCTGTTTAATGGTTCTGACTTGTAAAATGTAGGGGTTTACAGAATCAGGCCCTTAGACAGATGGGAACAATTTTTGTTATTGAAAGACTTGAAGGAAAAATTATACTGTAGATTCACCCAAATTTTTTTAAAACATGCCCACTAGAGAACTCTAATATCTTACATAGTGTACTGTCATTATGATACATCATCTGACCTATATACCTTTGTTTGCATCTCCCATAGCAGCAATTAACCCACCACTCCCAAATGTCTCCTTGCCAGCTTCACATATTAGAAATAACTATTTTAACATCTACTATCAGTGTTACTATGCAGCTATAAGAAAATACCAGTTCAGACCACTACTTTATTCTAGGAACCACCTACAGATCATAGAAGTCCCTCTTTCCTGTAGAGGGACACAGAAGATGAGCACCCTCCTGTGCAGTGAGCAGAAATTACAACTATTTTCATCTGTTCAGGGAGCCAAAGACTCAAGGGTCTGATTCTCCTCTCAAACCAGTTTTACACCAATGTAATCCCACTGATTTTAATAGAATTACTTCTGATTTATAATGTTTTAAGTAAAAGGATGATGAGATGGAAGATTTTCATACTGTAGCATATAGTGAGCTGGCAAGATTACTTAACATTTCACCGAACTGGATAATATTTTTGCATTTTAAAAAAATGCAAACATCTAGCTTGACTTCAACAAGAGCTTTGCCTGATATGACCCACAGGATCAAGCTCTAGAGATGAAATCCTGGCCCCACTACTGTCAATGGGAGTTTTGCCTTTGATGTCAATGGGGCCAGAATTTCACCCTATACGTTTATCAGTCTTAAACACAAAATTTAACCAACATTTTCAAAAGTGGCCACTTGGTTCAGGTCCCTCAATTATGGGAGCTTTGGACCAGTTTTCAGATGTGCTGAGCCCTCACACCTCAAACTGAAATCAATGGAAGCTGTGGGTGCTCAGCAACTTAAAAAAATCAGGACTTAGCTGTGAGAAGGCCTGAATACAGAAATCGAAGCATCCAAAATTAGAGGCCATTGTAGAAAATCTGGGCTTCTCAGCAAAATTTTAAAATCCTCAAAAACAAATTTACACTGAAAATTTTGAATTTTGCAGAAATCTTCTATTTACATGGAACATTATTTTCTTAGGAATAAAACAAAAGAGAAATCTGATGAATATTCAGGACCATTCTACTCTTCTGCAAACTTTTACATGAAAACAAGTTTAAACCACAATAGCTGACTGTCTTTTCCACATATTTTAAAACATTTCCTTCACATTTCACCAAAATGCATGCTACGTTTCCAGTTTTAAAGAAGAGTAATTCCTTCTACGCATTCCTTTGAAAAATGCGTATATTGCAAAATTCCAGCATTTATTGGTAGGAACACTATAACAAAGATTAAGGACTTAATCCTGTAATCTGATTGGCACAGGCAAACCCCTGTGGGGAGCACCATCAGGATGTAGGATTGGGGCCTAAGACACTTTCTTCTAATATTTTTGGCGAGAACAGAAGGTTTAAATAAACTTTTAGAAGTAAGCTGTGCTTTTCATTATATCTGAAATCTTGCCTATGATACAAAAGTTATTAGGTACCAAAGGCATGCTCAAATAACAGCATGAACACAAACAGCTACATACCTTCCATTGAACTGAGCCTTGGAGACAGATCAGCAAGTGGCCTGCACATATAAACATGCATAATTTAATTCCCTTTTTTCAGTGAATATAGCAACAAGCAACAATCTGAATTAAATTCTCATCTGAAATACTTTTGCTCATTAAAGTATTTTGTTGACTGCTACAAAAAGAAACAAAGCAACCCAACTATCTATTTATATTAAAAATGTTTCCACATACCATATAGAAGGCATTTCTAGATATAAAATATTCATTATAAATGAAAGATTTAGTATTACCCTCCCTAATTTATGAGTCAAATGAGATATTGTTTCATACAATCCTTCAATGTCCAAATGTTATGAGGAAGATCCCATGACTGAAGAAATGTAGGAAGGAGTAACACAGTAGGGGGTATGTCAAACGTTATAATATGCACTGTTCCTCTGAACTATGTGAGTACGCCCACGTGAATCTGACAGTGCTCTTAGGTCCATGTCTACACTACCACTCATGTTGGCGTGAAAAAAAAAACACCTCCCTGAGCAACATAAGTTTCACCGGCTTAAGTGGTAGTACGCACAGCACTCTGTCAGTGGGAGCTTCTCCCACTGACATAGCTACTGCCACTCATTGGAGATGGTTTAATTATGTCAACAAGAGAGTTCTCTCCCATCGGCATAGAGCGGCTACGCAAGAAGTCTTACAGCGGCACAGCTGCATTGGTACAGCTGTGCTGCCTGCTGTAAGGTTTCAAGTGTAGATATAGCCTTAGGACAGCACCTGAAAGCAACACTGCCAAGAATAAAAACACAGCATCAAGACTATGACTGCCCGATATTGTGATAACAAGGTAGGAATGCCATGCAAACCTGCAAGTCTCACTTCTTCAGAGGGCCTAAGCATTTTTTGAGCGCTTGAGAGCGTATCTGTGATAGTTATCTCTAAGTTTATGTTTTGTTTTCTTTCCAGTAGGTCAGACGTGTCCCAGATGGAACGCAGAGGATACTCCCTCCTTTAACCTTTCCTCCCCCATTAAGGCATGCATTCTAGCTGCAAATCTCCAGTCAAGACAGTCTGGATGAGGTTCCTTTTGAAGGCTATCAATAATGTCCATAAAATTAGATAAGAGAAGTCACTGCAGAAGCCTCCTTCTCACCCATCCCCAACACAAACAGAGGTTTGCTCTACCTTTACACAGTGCATACGGCTTCCTTTGATCTGTGGTGTAAGAGAACAGCTTTCTTGTTTGGTGGTTCAGAGTGCTAATGCTAGGCTATTTTATCTACCTAGGCACTCAGATACTCACAGCAGTATGTGTCTTCAGCTACATTTAACTTTTATCTGTAACATGAATATTACCAAGTCTACTGAATATAAATGGCAGGTTAACAAACTAGGCCCCAGTTCAGCAATGTAATTAAGCACTTGCCTAACTTTAAACACAAGATTAGTTCAACTGAGTACAAAAGAACAACTCGTTTGCTTAAAGCAGTGGTCCCCAACGTGGTGCCCGCGGGCGCCATGGCGCCTGCGGGGACGTCTAAGTGTGCCCGCGTACTGGCAGGCGGACGAGCATCCGCCGAAATGCCGCCAACAAGCAGCGTCATCCAGAGGCATCGCCACCAAAATGCTGTTGATTTTCGGCAGCGACGCCTCTGGATGACACTGCTTGTTGGCGGCATTTCGGCGGATGCTCATCTGCCGCCACGGTCCTCGGTGGCTTGTCGTCTGGCGCCTGCCAGATGAAAGAGGTTGGGGACCACTGGCTTAAAGTAAAGCATGTGCTTTAAATACATTGCTGAATTGGGGCCCTCCAGGCACCCTACAAAGTGTTCAATATAGTTTGACAAAGGGGTTTTTTTATTATTTATTTATTTATTTATTTTTAAGGCAGCCCTTGAATTTCAGCAGCATGTTTCCAATCAGTACATCCTTGTATCTGTAAAGCCAGGGAAGTTCTCGACCTTTGATTCTGCCTGCTAAGCCCAGGGAGGTCAGATGGTAAACCACCTTGCTGAAGATGAATCCAGGCCCTCTGAATATCAGCTGTAAGAAGATGACAACCATAGAACAAAAACACCTGAAAAGAAAAAAAAATAGAATTTTCACTACTGTACATGAAACAGATCTGTTAATATTTTATGGATTCTGAGAAGGTTTCCTGGCAGGAAGTAACGTGTTTTTTTTGCTGTTAAAAATATGTTTTAAGTATGCACTATAATCACAGAAAACTGCCTTGACTTTACTTCCTATGCTCATTATTTTGCTTACAGCCTAAACTGCACTCATTCAAAAAGGCTTTATTTTTGTTTTCCAATAAAAACTCAACAATTCCCATTTACTCTAGTAATTTCTTCATTTTTAGTAGGAATTTCAAGATTTTTACCTTTTAAAGGGGTGCTTAATTAGCTATAGACCTAAAAATTTAGATTTTGTTTTTTAAAAAGCCAAACAAATCAAAATAGGGGCCCAAATCTCAGCTGAACCTTTTACACTGGTCTGGCAATCCCTTAGAGTTGGTGTAAATGTAATTTGACTTCAGTAGGACTGAAACATAAGTGCTTAAGTGCTTTGCTCATTAGGGATGGATTTAAGTATGTGTTTAAAGCTGAACATGTGCTTAAGTGCTTTGAATTAGGGCCTTAATGAGAAACCTTTTGGTGCATCCTACAACGCAATTGCTCATGCTAACGAATATTGCAGGGTGTATTCTCCATATTCTGTAGATGCAGTACTCCCATTAATGTTAAATGGAAATTTAGCATGTAATTCAAGGGAAGTACTGACACCCCCAGGCCTGGACTAATATACTTTAGACAAAATTTGGTTCTCAATTATGGCTATGCAGCCCCACTGAAGTCAGTAAGGTTGCATAGGTGAAACAGAACACAATTTTGTCAATAATTTACTCGCAAATCTCAAAAAAATTATATAAATAAAAATGTGTATCACAATAAGGGAACTCCAATGGAATTTTCTGCTTTGAAGGAACCAAATGTTCTTGAAAAACTATTTAAAAATATCTTTAAATAAAAACACCAAATGTTTGGTGATTATTTTTATCAACAGAATAGATAATTAGTTGAAAGGTAACATGAAGCATTGTTGTATGTACCTCTCTTATAGCTGGATAATCATTGGCAGCCATTAGTGAATCCTTTAATAGCATAAGGATTGAGAGACAGAAATTCTCCATCACCTTTTGATTCCAATCTTGCATGTACAATTGATCCCAAATCAACAACACTGCAGGAAAATCCAGTATACTCACAAAGCCCTACACAAAATTATGAAATGTATTGTATTAAAAATATATTAGGCAATTTCTAATTTATAAAAACACCACCAAAACTTTCTCTTCCTACTCACACAGGTACCTGTACGGTTTAACACTTTGTTAATGATACCCAGAAACTAGCTTCAGATTGTTAGGGTAGGTGGGTAGTGTTTGACAGAAAAAAAACAGTGTTTGTCCAGAATGTAGCAGAATGTGGTCCTGGTCCATAACTCAGGCTCTTAGATGCTATGGTAACATATTAGGGTGATCAGATGTCCCGATTTTATAGGGACAGTCCTGATTTTTAGGTCTTTTTCTTATATTGGCTCCTATTACCCTCCACCCCCGTCCCGATTTTTCACATTTGCTGTCTGGTCGCCCTATAACGTACATAAAATAATAATAAATAATAATAACAACAACTACTGCACGTGCAATCAGTGTTACTGAAAGGAGACTTTCACCACTAGTTTTTTTTAACTGGATCATCAACTTCTGTAAATGATCATAGCTCTACTGAAGTCAGAGAAACTGTACGCATTTATACTAGCTGAGTATCTGGTCCTTCAGTTTTAATTTAAAGTGGCTCATATCTTAATATTTATTCCACTGGCTCATTTGTGGCTTTACTAGTGGCTGAAGAATATAAACTTTAATTATTTAATATTCTAGATGTAGTTATAATAAACAACTCAAGATTTTGTTTTCTCAGTATAAAGGTTAAACAGGGCCGGCCTTAGCGAGAGCGGGGCCCGATTCCTGGGGGCGGGG